GGTAATAACTGAGCACACATGGTTGGGAATGGGGTGCTGACATTGAGGTCAGAGTGGATTCAGAGGGAAGAAAATGCTGTTGGTGGCTGTTACATCCACAAACACAGGGTGCTCACAACCACCCCAGTATATTCTATCACAAAACAGGACAAAATTGTGTACAGACCAGGCATGGGAAAACTTGGCCCTCCAGGTGTTTTGGACTTCAACTCCCACAATTCCTAACTGCCTACTGTTGACCATTTCCGCTACCTTGGCAGCCACCACTCCACCAAAGTCAACATTGACACCGAAATACAACACCGCCTGAGCTCTGCGAGTGCAGCATTTTACCGAATGTAAAATGAAGCAGAGAGTGGTTGAAGACTGGGACATCCGTAGGGACACCAAGGTGCTTGTTTATAAAGCTATTGTCCTCCCAACCCTGCTATATGCCTGCTAAACATGGACTGTCTATAGACATCACATGCAAACCTGGAACGATTCCATCAGCGCTGCCTCCAGAAAATCCTGCAAATCTCTTGGGAAGACAAGCAGACAAATGTCAGCGTGCTGGAAGAAGCAAAGACCATCAGCACTGACACAATGGTCCTCTGCCACCAACTCCGCTGGACCAGCCACGTTGTCCAGATGCCCAACCATCTCCCGAAGCAGTTGCTCTACTCCGAACTGAAGAACGGAAAATGGAATGTTGGTGGGCAGGAAAAGAGATTTAAAGATGGGCTCAAAGTGAACCTTAAAAACTGTGGCAATGACACTGAGAACTGGGAAGACCTGGCCCTTGAGCGCTCCAGCTGGAGGTCAGCTGTGACTAGCAGTGCTGTAGAATTTGAAGAGGCACGAATGGAGGGCGAAAGAGAGAAACGTGCCAAGAGGAAAGTGTGTCAAGCCAACCCCGACCAGGACCACCTTCCACCTGGAAACCAATGCCCTCATTGCAGGAGAACATGCAGGTCAAGAATAGGGCTCCACAGTCACCTACATACCCACCACCAGTACACTGATCTTGGAAGACTATCCTACTCGGGATGGTCTTCCAAGGGATCGTCTAAGGAAAAAGGTTGAGGGTTAAAGTTTTCCCTTGTCTGGTACAGACCTTCCCTTCCCATTTTCCTTCTGCACCAGCAGAAACTCAGAGAAAGAGATGTGATGTTGACATCTGTTCTCGGCCCCAGACAGATGGCTTCTAATGTAAGTAAAGCATGGCATTTCCATTATAACTAACAGAGAATTGCTGCTGACTTTCCACATTACTGGACCATATCGTCTGCCTTCTGAGCGCACATCCCAATATGCTTTCTCCATCAGTGCCGTGAGCCTATCTGCTTTTTTCTCTCTTCTGCAGGAAATGGGAGAGAACTCAGCAGAGGGACTTGACAGGAGGGTCAAGGCAGGGAAGGCATTTTCAAAGCCTCAGGGAAGCGCCTCCGGCTGCCCAAGCAACAGGTGGTCCAGCCCTACATCAGGCACTGACTGCACAGATCTGAGAACTATCAGGACCCTCGCCTCTCCTACACTTTCAGGGCAAGGCTTTCCTCTGAGAAACATTTCCCTACGGAGGCACCAATAACTAGCAAGATTCTTGGCTTAGTCCCTTTTCTTCTAGGAGGCAAAATCTACCAAGCCGCTCTGAGAAGGAAAGGGCATGCCTTACAACAGAGCTTTCCAAACTGCATCACAACACATTTGTGCCTCGGCTGCACTGTGCAGGTGTGTCGAACAGATGTATTCATCTATGTGAAATAAGCAGTAACTCAAAATTTTTGAAAGATAAATGAAAGGTTTTTCATAGATTACGTTCTTTATCCTATACATTTCATTATTACAATTTACTAATGTGTTTGCATCTCTTATAAAGGTTTGGTAGGAACCGTGGTGGTTCATTGGGTTAAACCCTTGTGCTGGCAGGACTGCTGACTGAAAGATTGTCGGTTTGAATCCGGGGAGTGGAGTGAGCTCCTATCTGTCAGCTCCAGCTTCCCATGTGGGGACATAAGAGAAGCCTCCCACAGGATGGTAAAACATCTAGGTGTCGCTTGGGTGACGTCCTTGCGGATGGCCAATTCTCTCACACCAGAAACGACTTGCAGTTTCTCAAGTCGCTTCTGACACAAAAAAATAAGAGGTTGGTTGAAGTAGTTTTCTAGCAAAACTGAATTATTGTGTCACAAAATGATGCACGAGAAAAGACACGATTGCCACGTTTAAATATCTGAAAGGCTGTCTTAAGGAAGAGGGAGCAGGCTTGTTTTCTGCTGCCTTGGAGACTCAAGCCCATTCCACACAGCTGTGTAAAATCCACACTGAACTGGATTATATGGCAGTGTGGACTCAGATAATCAAATTCAGATATTGTGGATTATCTGCTTTGATTTTCTGGGTTATATGGCTGTGTGGAAGGGGCCTGCAATGGAGCAATGGGTGTAAATGACAGGAAAGCAGATTCCACTTGAACATTAGGAAGAACTTCCTGACTGTAAGAGATGTTCAGCGGTGGAACTTGCTGCCTCGGAGTGTGGTGGAAGCTCCTTCTTTGGAAACCTTTAGAATCATAGAATCATAGAGTTGGAAGAGATCACTGTCCAACCCACGGCCATGCAGGAAAAGCACATTCATAGCACCTCTGACAGATGGCCATCCAGCCTCCAAGGAAGGTGCTTCTACCATACTTCGGGCCCTTTCAGACAGGCCCTGTCTCCCAGGATCTGATCCCAGGTTTTCTGTTTATCTCAGATTATCTGGCAGTGTGGACTCATATAATCCAGTTTAAAGCAGAAAACCTGGATCAGATCCTGGGATATAGGGCCTGTCTGGAAGGGACCTCTGAGGCAGAGAGTTCCACCGCTGAACAACTCTTACATTCAGGAAGTTCTGCCTAATGTTCAGGTGGAATCTCCTTTCCTGTAATTGAACCCATTGCTCTGGGGCACAGAAAACAAGCCTGTTCCCTCTTCCATACGCCATCCCCTCAAATATTGATAAATGGTGATCATGTTTCTTCTCAACCTTCTCTTCTGCAAGCTAAACATACCCTCTTCTTTAAGACACTCCTCATAGGGCTGTGGTTCTCAACCTGTGGGTCCCCAGGAGTTTTGGTGTACAACTCCCAGAAATCCCAACTGTTAGGATTTCCAGGAGTTGAAGGCCAAAACATCTGGGGACCCAAAAAGGTTAAGAACCACTGTCATAGGGCATGGTTTTGAGACTTTGAACGTATTTTAAACAGAGGCAGGATGGCCATCTGTCAGGGGTGCTCCAGAAGACACGATCTTGACAGATTACAGAGATGGGCCAAAACTAACAAAATGAAGTTCAACAGTGACAAATGCAAGATACTCCACTTAGGCAGAAAAAATGAAATGCAAAGATACAGAATGGGGGACATGGCTCGAGAGCAGTACGTGTGAAAAAGATCTTGGAGTCCTCGTGGACAACAAGTTAAACATGAGCCAACAATGTGATGTGGCGGCAAAAAAAAAGCCAATGGGATTTTGTCCTGCATCAATAGGAGCATAGTGTCTAGATCTAGGGAAGTCATGCTTGTAGTTGCTGGGATTTGTGGCGCAGCTGGCTGAGTGTCAGCTGCATTAAGATCACTCTGACCAAAAGGTCATGAGTTCGAAGCCAGCCCGGGTTGGAGTAGGTTTCCAACCAATTGTGTAGCCTGTTGTCGACCTTTGCAACCCGAAAGACAGTTGCATCTGTCAAGTAGGAAAATTAGGTACCACCTTAAAGTGTGGGGAGGCTAAATTAACTGATTTATGAGGCCAATAAAGAAGACTCCAGCAAAGCATTCCAGCGGGGAAGCATGCGGGGAATGCGGAAGTGCTTCATCAGCGTCGCAGATGGACGATGAAAGCGACAGCTCCCCTGGCGGCCAGAAAAAGTTAAATAGCCTCTGTGTAGATCTGTATATGTTTGTATGTCAAAAATTGGCATTGAACGTTTGCCATATATGTGTACACTGTAATCTGCCCTGAGTCCCCTGCGGGGTGAGAAGGGCGGAATATAAAAGATGTAAATAATAATAAATACCCCTCTTTTCCACCTTGGTTAGACCACACCTGGAATACTGTGTCCAATTCTGGGCACCACAATTGAAGAGAGATATTGACAAGCTGGAAAGTGTCCAGAAGAGGGCGACTAAAATGATCAAGAGTCTGGAGAACAAGCCCCACGAGGAGCGGCTGAAAGAGCTAGGCATGTTTAGCCTGAAGAAGAGAAGGCTGAGAGGAGATATGATAGCCATGTATAAATATGTGAGAGGAAGCCACAGGGAGGAGGGAGCAAGCTGGAGACTAGGACGCGGAACAATGGCTTCAAACTACAAGAGAGGAGATTCCGTCTGAACATGAGGAAGAACTTCCTGACTGTGAGAGCTGTTCAGCAGTGGAACTCTCTGCCCCGGAGTGTGGTGGAGGCTCCTTCTTTGGAAACCTTTAAACAGAGGCTCGATGGCCATCTGTCGGGGGTGTTTTGAATGCAATTTTCCTGCTTCTTGGCAGGGGGTTGGACTGGATGGCCCATGAGGTCTCTTCCAACTCTTATGATTCTATAGTTGTGCTTTTCTTGCATGGTAGGAGGTTGGGCTGGCTGTCCCCTTGGGGTCTCTTCTAACTCTAGGATTCAGAAAGTGTGTCAAGACATGTTTGCCATCAGAAGACGGAGGTTCGGGCTCAGACCAACAGACAAGGCGGACGCTCACTCTCTGAGAAGCTGAGCCATCATTTCAGGTTGACAAAGGGCTTGTCAGCCTTGTCTGCCTCTCCTCGGGGGGCTTGTCTCCCAACTTCTCCCGCTCCAAAGAGGAGGCAACAGGAAAGAAGCATCTTGGTGCCTGGAGAAGAGTCCATGCCCCGCCGCGCTCCAAGGGGTGGGAGGCGTGACAGGAAAGGTTCCTCTGGGCCAGAGAGGGGCGCTCCTTAAAGACTCCCCCCAGAAGAGAGGACCCTGCCCCGCCCCCTCCCCCGGTCACGTGACCGCACGCCCCTGTCACTCACGCTGCTGTTGTCGCCCGTCCAGTGGACCATCGCTTGGTTGTGGATGGCGTCGCCCTTCAGGACGAAGGAGGTGCTGAGCAGGGAGGCGCCCTCCCGCAGGGGCCCCCCGGACGCGCCCCGGGTCTCCCTGCAAGCTCCCAACGCCAAGAGCAGGAGCGGGGCCACGCGCCACGCCATGCTCGGGGGCCTGCCTCCGTCCACAGCGCGAGACGAGGATGCAAAGCTGGCAGGAGGAGGGAGGGAGGGAGGGAGGAGCGAGCGAGCGTGGCGTTCCTGCGCTGCGTGGGAAACAGCGCGCCGGGTCTTCCCCGCCCAGCCCGCGCGCCCCAGCGCCGCCCCCTGCCGGCCGGCCGGCCGCTCGCCCGCGCGCTCTTCCCTCCTTGCTTTGGCTTCCTTCTGCAAGGGGCTCCCTCCTCTGCAAAGGGATTGCTCCCCGCGCGCGCGCTCGCTCGTTCATTCAGCGGGCAGGCACAAACGCCCGCGCGCCCCTCCTTCCCCCTCGCGAGGAAAAGAACTGCTCTGAAGGCTCGGAGCGCCCCCTACTGGCCGCGCCGAGCCCAGCCTCGCTCGCCTCTCCGTCCCGAAAGAGCAGCGCGCCACAAGGGAGACCAAAGCCCCTTCCAGATATTTATCGTATCAGAAGTGAAGGGGTCCCTGGTGGCGCAGTGGTCAAACCGCTGAACCTGGTGATCGAAAGGTCGCAGGTTCGAATCCAGGGAGTGGCATGAGCTTTCGCAAATGGGGAAAGGCCACCTGGAAATATGTGTATAAGCCCCAGCTTCTGTCAACCTAGCTTTTTGAAAAGATGCAAATGTGAGTAGATCAATAGGTACCGCTCCAGCAGGAAGGTAACGGTGCTCCATGTAGTCATGCCGGCCACATGACCTAGTAGGCGTCTACCAACAACACCAGGTAAAATATATCTTGTAAGCAGCTCTGAGTCCCCCTATAAATGCCATAAATAAATAATAAATAAGGGCGCTCCATGCAGTCATGCCGACCACATGACCTTGGAGGTGTCTACAGACAACGCCTATGCTTAGAAATGGAGATAAGCACTAACCCCCAGAGTTGGACACAACTAGACTTAATGTCAGGGAAAAACCTTTACCTTTATCTTATCAGAAGCAAACCAAGGGTACAGCTGTAATGTATATATTTTTAAAAACACACACACACAAAGTTTAAAAACTTAGCATTTTATTAAATGTCCTTTGACCAGTAGTTGGCCACTTGGAGTGCCTCTGATGTTGCTATAAGAAGGTCCTCCATTGTGCATGTGGCGGGGCTCAGGCTGCATCGTAATAATAATAATAATAATAATAATAATAATAATAATACACCCACGTAGTGATGTCGACAGACTTTACCTGTCCAGAAAATTAGGAGGCAGAGGGCTTCTGCAAGTGAAACAAATGGTAGAAGAAGAGAAACATGCACTGGCAGACTGTGAGAAAGGCAGTCAAGAACCAACATTGAGGGAAGTCAATAGTAGTAAACTGCTTCAAGTGCAAAAGACAAAGAGGGAATCCCGTAAAAACACAATCCAGAGCAGAAGAGAAAACTGGCGAAAGAAGGTTCTCCATGGACAGTTCCTAGGAAAAACTGAGAGCCAAATTGACAAAGAAAAAACATGGCTGTGGCTCACAAATGGATCTTTGAAAAAGGAGACAGATGGCCTGATTCTGGCAGCCCAAAAACAAGCCATTAGAACAAATGTTATCAAAGCTAGAACTGAAAAGTCAATGACAGATCCCAAGTGTAGACTCTGCAAGGAAGCAGATGAAATAATAGATCACACCCTCAGCTGCTGCAAGAAGATCACGCAGACAGACTACAAGCAGAGGCACAACACTGTTGCTCAGATGATTCCCCTGGCTATATGCCTGAAACTTAGCATTCTATTAAATGTCCTTTGACCAGTAGCTGGCCACTTGGAGTGCCTCTGGTGTTGCTGTAAGAAGGTCCTGCAGCAGGTGGTCTGTGGTTTGTTCTTCCTCACACTCACATGTCGTGGATTGTTGATAGCTGTTGAGCTATTTATAAATAAATAGCTGTTTTTGTTATAAGAGAGATGCCCTGGCTAGCTTGCACAGGGACCATTTCAAACATATCTAAAATTGCACTGATAAGTTGTGTACCTGTGTATGCTGAACACATGAAGGTTGTGAATAAACCAAATATGTTATTTTTTATCCAAGTCTACTTCATTTTTGTCTGTTGAGTGCATGATATAAAACAAGTTATTTTATGGAAGAATATATATATATATGCATACATACACGCACACACACACACATATATACACTAGCTGTCCCCTGCCAGGCATTGCTGTGGCCCAGTCTGTTGATCTGGAAAATAAAGTAATGAGAAAGTGTTTGTTTCCAATATATGTAATTTCTTTATGCTTGTGGGTAAACAGTATTTCTTGCTGTTTCTTTGTCAGTTTTGATGTGGAGATTGTCTGGTTTGCCTACTCTGGAACATACAACATATAATTGTCCTTCTTTAGGGGTTCCTTTCGGGGGGTTCTTGGGGGGGCTGAGTTTCAGGGGGGGGCTGAGTCTGAGTGAAAGAGGGTCTAGCCCTAGCAAACCTTTTGTATTATTACCCCAATACCCCCATGCATATGGGATATATTGAGTATGGTGATCAGATCATGATATGAATAAACATAACAGTTTAAATAATGCACCAGTAAGGCCTTTTCGCGAACCACCATGAGAATTTAGGGGGGGGCTGAAGCCCCCCAAGCCCCCCCCCCCGTCTGGTTTGCCCACCCTGGAACATGCAACATATCATTGTTCTTCTTTAAGGGTCCCTTTCAAATCTATGACACTATATCTGTGTGTGTGTAATTAATATCTATCTATCTATATCTATGGCTGGATGACTCTGTGCCAGGAGGGCTTTGATTATGTTTTCTTGCCCTGATGAAAGGAGTTGGAATTGATGCCCCTAAGTATTTTCTGTTGGTCATGGAGGTTCTGTGTGGGAGGTTTGCCCAGATTCTGTCGTTGGTGGGGTTCAGAATGCTCTTTGATTGTAGGTGAACTGTGAATCCCAGTGACTACAACTCCCAAATGTCAAGGTCTATTTCCCCCAAACTCCATCTGTGTTCATATTTGGGCGTATTGAGTGCTTGTGCCAAGTTTGGTCCAGATCCATCATTGTTTGAGTCCACAGTGCTCTCTGGATGTAGGTGAACTACAACTCCCAAACTCAAGGTCAATGCCCACCAAACCCTTCTAGTGTTTTCTGTTGGTCATGGGAGTCCTGTGTGCCAAGTTTGGTTAAATTCCATAGTTGGAGGAGTTCAGAATGCTCTTTGATTATAGGTGAACTATAAATCCCAGCAACTACAACTCCCAAATGACAAAATCATAATTTTTTGAGTGATGGTCACTCCTTGTGTTGTGAGACGTTTTGTTGCCAAATTTGGTGTGATTTCGTTCGTTGGTGCTTTTGTTTTTAAGGTAATCATTATGCACAGAGCATTTTTATATGTAGAGAGAGAGAGAGAGCACTGAAAAACACTTCTAAAACTCTGCTGTTTTGTGCACTGGCAAATCTCTTCCTAACATATCCGAGATAACAGATTATTCAGTCTAACAACTGAGACCATTGCCTTGCATAATTATATCCCGTTGTATACCACAAGAGAGTATTCTCCTCCAAAGGGTTTTTGGCTCTTCTCTGAAAGTTATGATCTCCAAAAGGTGTTTTTCAAAAAGGTTAATAATGCAATTTTTCAAAATACAATTTGAAATTGATTTTTCAAAAATCAATTTCAATTTCAGGACTAATTCTCAAATCTTTTATCATTTAGACTTCAGTTCCCATGGTGCCCGATTTTCAGGGATTTTTGGGAAGCGAAGTTCCAAACAATTGGAAGGCTAACGGTTGAGGAACTTTGGCCTTCAATACCATCCAGTCATTTTTTTTTTTTTTACAATCTTCCCTAAACGGACACATTTTCAAAGCATTCTTCTGGAGAATGGATTCTATAAGAAGCAGCATGCCAAAAAGTGACTGCCATGGAATGCAAGAAGAATAACAGAGATACAGATTAACAGAATCGTTAAGGCTACGCTTACGACACTTGAGACTTTGGAATAGCAGTTTTTAAGACAAAAAGCAGAATGTCAGCTGCAGGAGCCAAGAAATACCACTGGAAGGGGAAAGGGGGGGCTCTGCCTTTTCCCACAACCCTTTACTTGCTGTTTTCACAGTCCTTTAATTCAGTGTTAGCTTCGAAGTGTATGTCATTGTACTGTAATTCAATTTCACTGCATAACTCTGCTTTAACATCTGTAGCTTCAGTACTGTATACCATCAATACACAATGCCTAATTCTACTAAAGGCACCAGAACCCACAAGATCTCAGAAGCTAAGCAGAGTCAACCTTGGTTAGCACTTGGATGAGGGGGCCGGCTCTGGATCATCCCTGGGGTTTCCAGTCCAAAACCTGCACAGTATGTTTTATCATTAAGTCCTGGTGATGTCAGGATGTATTCAATAGTGTCCAATAAGCATTAGCACCCAACTCTTTCCTCTGCTCTGGAGTTGAGCTTGTAGCCTTGTCTCAAACCTGAATCATGAAAATTGAAGGCTCAGAACCAGGTTCTGATATCAGACAACCCTAAGATAGCGCTCCACTGCAGCAAAGGGGGGGGGGGGGAATGAAGTCACTTTTCTGGATCTCCTGTGACTCACTGGAGATCTGAGAGTAAGATTTCATTCATATTTTCCTGGGCTGCAGAAACAGCTGTGATGATGTTGTCTGGCTGTTCCTCTGGCAATGCCTCATGGTTTTTTAAAATAAAAAATCTAGGAGATTAATTTGCTTCCCTCCTTGCCAAACTTTACCAAGAGTTAATATCTGCAGAGGCATGCACTCACCCACAGTGCCTCTTACACTATTTGCACAGGCCATTTGTATAAAAGCCTTTCATTAATAGAGCTTCCACTCTGCTTTTCAAACTGCTCTCACTCATTGAGTTGCTGTGAGTTTTTTTGAGCAGTATGGCCATGTAGCATTTTCCTCTGATGTTTCACCTGCATCTTTGGGTGGTATCTTCAGAGGTTCTGTTAGCAATTAAACAAGTGGAGTGTTTTATATTTTACTAGTTTAGGTACCTGGCGATGCCCACGTTAGGACTTTTGTAATGATAAATATTAAAAATTGTCATTGTTTGGTTTTGAATTTTATGACTAGTCCCAATAGAAAATGTGTAAAGATGTGGGTGAACTCGCATCATCCCAGGTCCCTCCTCTGAAACCTGCCAATGCCAGCACTTTAAGTTGCTCATGATGGGCCTGTGTGCTAAATGTGGCCCAGATTCATAATCAATGCAGCTCACAGGGCTTTCTGGATGTTTCAAATGAAACTGAGTCCTCAGTCCTCCACTGTGAAGGAAGTAATAAACCAGGGGCTAAACCAACCCCTTAAAAAAATAGAGACACAAACAGAAGTTGTAATAACAAAATGTATGGGGACACAACATAGATCATGAACACTTTTCATGTATATATTTAAAAATACACGATTACTAAGATAATAATTTTGGAGCCTAGCTGCATTGCCTCTTTAAAAAAACAAACCCTGAAACCTCCAGACCGGGTTTCTCAATGAGGCGCTGAGAGGCGAGGAGATGGAGATATAACAGATTTTATTTGCAAATAGAAGCCTGTGGGTAGCAGTGATGTAGAGATAAAATTTAGGGGCCTTTTAACCCCTATTGTGCCGTCTGGTACCTTTGTCCTTTCCAGAACTATAAGTCACCATCCCTTGTTGGGGGGGGGGGGCATGCTCGACTTCAGCAGCAGTGAACGGAAGCATCACATTGAATGAAGCCTCCCATGGGTTTTCATAAGGTTTGCAAACATGTTTTGCACTTCCACACACCTTCCTTTTCCACACCCCTTTTCCCTTTCATCCTGTCTCATGATAGTTTGATCAGAGATCATTCAAGTAGGCAATTTCCCCACAATTTCCCAATGACAAATAATTCAATCTATCAAACACCATTTGGACTTCCTGGGTCCTGGTTGAACTTCCCTCCTTCCTTTGAGGCTCTCATTTGGTTCAATCCATCAAAACACCATTCCTGTTTGGACTTCCTTACATTTGAGACTATTGCTTCCACCTCGTGTTTATTGCCTTGCCTGTGTAAGCTTCCAGGCTTGGCATTTCCCATGCAGACCCTTCCATTGATTTCTTTTGCATAACTAAGGAAGGCAATGTGTTGTTTATTGTTGGGTCCTTCTTTCCTTACAACTTCCATTTGGGGATGTTTTGTTTCCCTGCTTATGTGAGCCTTTTTCCTGTATGTTTCTCATGGCAGACTCTAAGGATGCTTGCCATAGATGCAGGCGAAATGTCAGGAGATAATGCCTCGAGAACATGGCCATATAGCTTGAAAAAAACCTACAACAACCCAGTCTTGAGCATTTCCCTTTTTTGGTATGGGGATATAAGTTGATTGTTTTCCAGTCTGATGGCCATTCCTTTGTTTTCCATATTTGCTGGCATATGGCATGCATCACCTTAATAGCATCCTCTTTCAAGATTTTAAACAGTTCAGCTATTGCTATTTACTAATCAAACCTTCTATTCTTAATTTCTTATTAAATCAAGTCCTTGTCCCCTTCAATAAAATACATTTATTTCCAAGAGTTTTGTAATTTGTCGTTACATTCGTGCGATGCGGCGACACAACTGCACTGACACACGAATGCAGGGGTCCTCAAACTAAGGCCCGGGGGCTGGATATGGCCCTCCAAGGTCATTTACGCGGCCCTCGCTATGGGGCAAACTAAGTTTGAAACAACTTGAAAGCACACAACAATCTTATCTCATCAGCTAAAATCAGGCCCACACATCCCATTGAAATACTAATAAGTTTACATTTATTGTTGAAGGCATTCATGGCAGGAATCACTAGGTTGCTGTAAGTTTTTTTGGGCTATATGGCCATGTTCTAGAGGCATTCTCTCCTGACGTTTCGCCTGCATCTATGGCAAGCATCCTCAGAGGTAGTGAGGTATTAATACTATATAATAGAAACAAAGGACTTTTGTCTGCTGGAGCTAGGTGTGAATGTTTCAACTGACCACCTTGATTAGCATTTAATGGCTTGGAAGTGCCTGGGGGAATCTTTTGTTGAGAGGTGATTTGATGTGCCTGATTGTTTACTCTCTGTTGTTTTGCTGTTGTAATTTTTGAATTTTTTAATACTGGTAGCCAGATTTTGTTCATTTTCATGGTTTTACATAAAATCACTCTCAACAAAAGATTCCCCCCAGGCACTTCCAAGCCATTGAATGCTAATCAAGGTGATCAGCTGAAACATTCACACCTAGCCCCAGCAGACAAAAGTCCTTTGTCTCACCCTGGTCATTCCACAGATATATAAACCCATTTTTCCTACTTCCAACAGACCTCACTACCTCTGAGGATGCTTGCCATAGATGCAGGCGAAACATCAGGAGAAAAATTGCCTCCAAAACATGGCCATATAGCCCGGAAAACCTACAACAACCCAGTGATTCCGGCCATGAAAGCCTTCGACAATAAACCAAGTTTATATTTGTTAAAACTGTTCATTTTATTGTATTGTTTTAAGTGTTTTTGCACTACAAATAAGATATATGCCATGTACATAGGAATTCATTCATATATATTTTTAAATTATAATCCGGCCCTCCAACAGTTTGAGGGACTGTGACCTGGCCCTCTGTTTGAAAAGTTTGAGGACCCCTGCACTAATGTGTCACGACACACACAACTGAAAGCTCTGCTGTCTTATGTACTGAGCCTTTGATCATCCCGCTTGGCTTCTTTGCGCCTGCGCATTTTAACTCCCGAATAAATCCAGCTGCGCATGCTCTGTTGAGCTCTGTCACTAGGTAAGCAGCACGGCCCCTTTCCTAGCTTTACACCAGAGGCCAATATCTCCCCTCTAGCATCAAGCCCCACCCACCCCAGCGGTGCCGCTGATTGGCTGCGTCCTCCCCTGTTGCCTGACCTGCGCGCTGATTGGGCAAAGGCGACTTCCGTCGAGCTCTGAGGAGGACGACGCTGAGAGCGGCGTGATGGCGGCGGCCGTGCGGGGTGTGCAGCGGCTGGTGGGCCTGGCCGGGCGGAACGTCTTTCTCTTCCCGGGGCCTCCGCGGAGGTAAGGCAGGGGAGATGGCTCTTTCAGCCGCGGAGGGAAGCCGAGGCTTGGGCTGGGTGGCTGACGCCTCCACTGGGCCCCAACGTGCCGCACTGAGGGGAAAGGCCGCAGGGTGCCATTGAGGCCTTACAGCCAGAGGCCCAGGTGGTCTGTTCGGAAGGAAGAGGGGGAACCATGTATATACGTATACACAGATATAGGAAACTGGTCTGAATGAGAGGGGACCTGACCTTTCCTGTCTCCCTTTGTTGCCTTCGGGTCATTCCTTTCTCCCGCCATACATTTGCTTCTTTCCCTGGTTCACCTCTTTCGGCTCAGCCTCTCGGTAGAAGCCAGGCTTGATCCTCTAACTGGGGCCCTTCCACCCAGCCCTATATACCGGAATATCGAGGCAGAAAATCCCACAATATCTGCTTTGAACTGCCCTATATCCCAGATTATCAAGGCAGAAAGTCCCACATCTGAGTGTGGACTCAGATAACTCATTTCAAAGCAGATATTGTGGGATCTACTCCCTTAATATTCAGGATATAGGGCTCTGTGGAAGGGCCCAAAGGCTCTGATAAGTCATCTCTCTATAATGTTTTCCTAGATCACAGCAAGGCAACCGCCCTTCCCGCTCACAGGGCTGCTTTAAAGGTTCTGTCTGGCTGCATTATTTTGAGACACTGAATCTGTATCTATATATTAGGTAAAAAGGTAAAGGTTGTCCCCTGACATTAAGTCCAGTCACGTCTGACTCTGGGGTGTGGTGCTCATCTCCATTTCTAAGCCGAAGAGCTGGCATTGTCCGTAGACAGCTCCAAGGTCATGTGGCCGGCATAGGGAACTTGGGCCCTCCAGGTGTTTTGGACTTCAGCTCCCACAATTTATTTATTTATTTATTTATTTACTTTGCTTATATACCGCTGTATCTCAAGCCCGAAGGCGACTCACAGCGGTTCACAAACAGTAAAAACAGTAGAAACAGCAGTGGTTCCATGCAACATATAACAATTGACTTAACACATTATCCATAAATTACCAATAAGCAATTACAATGCACAATTATTACGAAAAACAACCGTACCCAATCTTCTCATCATCCAAGCGTAGTCCAGTTTCGTCGTCCATTGTTCCACATTTGCATGTTTTCGAACTGCTAGGTTGGCAGAAGCTGGGGTTGACAGCGGAAGCTCACACCGCTCCCCGGATTTGAACCTGCGACCTTTCGGTCAACAAGCTCAGCAGCTCAGTGCTTTAACCCACTGTGCCACCAGGGGCTCCTTTTTATCTATATATTACACCTGTCAAAATGCCTTTTCATGGTCTCGCCTATCTAAAGCCCCATCTACACTGCCATATAATGTAATTTCAGGCTGCATTATATGGCAGTGTAGATTGGGGCCTGAAATAAAACCAAATTCATTGATAACAACATAGTTCAGCAAGCTTCTGAAACCACCAGAACTCAGTTAATTTTTTATCAAAATTTACAAATGTGATAGATATGCAAAGTACACATAGCACACAACATCCACACTACAACATATAAGACATCTTTCTTGCCCACATCCTACACAAAGTTAACCCTTATGCCACATGCACCTTGACTTCCATCCCTAGTCACTGGTGCCTATAACATATCTTATTTACCCTTCTCCAATAACATCACTTATTTACCCTTCTGTTGTGTTTGCTCATAAATTCCACTTGGGACTATTTATCATTCACTCTCCTTCCAGATATGCCATTGCCCATTTTCATCTCTTTAGGAACTCATCATTGATTTTGCCCATCAAGGGCCCTTCCACACAGCCATATAACCCAGAATATCAAGGCAGAAAATCCTACAGAATCTGCTTTGAACTGGGTTATCTGAATCCACACTGCTACATAGTCCAGCTCAATGTGGATTTTTTACAGCTGTGTGGAAGGGGCCCCAGTTATTGGATATCTTGGCCACCACCCGAACTCTTAAGCAGGTTAAGTATTAAAGAACCTGGATGGTGGAGGCATGGGAAAACCCTGTAATCATCCTAGTTGGATGTTAAAACCACAGGATCTGTAGTTATGCCAAAATCCCAAAATGGAGACTTTAGGCTTAAACAACAATATGCTCACTGTCTTCTTTCTCTCAGGGCCCTCCCACACAGCCATATAGTCTAGAATATCAAGGCAGATAATCCACAATATCTGCTTTGAACTGGGTTATCTGAGTTCACATCATATAATCCAGTTCAATGTGGATTTTATACAGCTTTGTGGAAGGGCCCCCAAAAAGCTGTTTCTCAGATTACTTGAGATTGGAAAAGCGATTTCATGAAACCTCTCTTCAGTTAATGTTTCTAAGCACTTTCCAAAGAATATGCAACATTAGTCTAATCCAAATGGTATGATAAAAGGATGGGTAGGGAAGAACACATCTTTACAACCTGTCTTTCAAGAACACAGATGGCATAGAAATAAAACAAAAGTATAGTCACAATAATATAAAAGAATTGAACATAGCCTGCCTGCAGCAGGATGAGCAAACGGCCTGTTTATGGCCCTTTGTAAATTGCCTCAATTACATTTCCGAAATGGTATCCTGCATCTATTTCTTTTATTAGTAGTTTCAGAAAATTCCAATTAACCTTGTCGAACGCCTTTTCGGCGTCGACAAACAATAGTGCTAATTTCTTCTCATTATGCTTTTCATAATATTCGATTACATTTATTAGCGTTCTTGTGTTATCCTTCAGCTGCCTATTGGGTAGGAACCCTGACTGCTCCTTCGATACCCAGTCTTTTAAGAATTCTTTTAGCCTTTCAGCCATAATTATTGAGAAGATTTTGTAGTCATTGTTTAACAGTGAAATCGGACGGTAGTTTTTTATTTCAGTGGGTTCTGTTCCTTCTTTATGTATTAGAGTAATATTTGCTCTTTGCCATGACTTTGGGGTTATTTTATTTTCTAATATGTTATTTGCAATTTCTTGAAACAGGGGGCTTATCTCGTTTTGGAAAGTTTTGTAAAAAAGTGCAGTAAAGCCGTCAGGGCCGGGTGCTTTATTTCTTTTTAATTTTTTAATGGCCATATCTATTTCATACATCGAGATTTTCCCGTTTAGTTTTTCTCTTTGTTTTTCTGTTAATTTAGGAATGTTTAGTTCGCATAAGTACTTAGTTATTTCTCCCCTATCAACTTCTGTTTTTTTATAAAGGTCTTTATAAAATATGATAAATTCATTGGCAATACTGTCCTCTTCTGTGTGTGCTTTCCCTTTTACCTGAATTTTAGTAATTAATTGCTTTTGTTTTTGCTTTTTAATTTTGTTTGTTAGCCACTTGCCAATCTTATTCGCATTTTGAAAGTGATTAACCCTGGCATACTTCATTTGTTTCTCCAAATTTTCAGTCTGCAGTAATTGTAGTTGCTTTTGGAGCGAGTTTATAATCAAGTTTGTTTTTTTATCTTTGGGGTTTCTTTTAAGTAGGGCTTCCTTCTCTTTAAGTTTTTCTAGAATTTCTTTTATTTCTCTATTCCTATTTTTTTTATTTATAGCTTCTTGTTGCATTAAATATCCCCTCATGACCACTTTCATCGCTTCCCACTGTGTGGTTTTGGAGGTTTCTTCCCCCTTATTTAGCTCTAAATATTCTTTTAGCAACTTCTTGTTTCTTTCTATGTCCTCTTCTTTTCTTAATAGGTGATCTTTCAGTCTCCATCTAAAAGCTGTCTCTTTTCCTTTAATTGTAAATTCCACTGCGCAGTGGTCTGAGTGGGTTCTGGCTAGAATATTTATTTTATTTATCTTTAAATTTAATGATTTGGTTGCCCACACCATGTCTATGCGTGACCAGGAGTTATGTCTTCCAGAGAAATACGTGTAATCTCTGGTTGTTCCTTTGTGTTGTCTCCATGAGTCCTGTAAATTTAAATTTTTAAGTTGTTGTATGCATGCTTTAGGTAATTCACTCTTTTTATTGGTATTCTTATTCCTGCTCTCTTTATTGTTTGATTTGTCTAATGTTGCGTCTATTACCCCGTTGAAATCTCCTAAAATTATCAAGTCATCCCAATTTTGTTTATCTATTTCTCTTATCAATTTTTTCATGAATTTTACTTTTGCCCCATTTGGTGAATAGATATTGCAGACTAGTGTTTTTTGATTTTTTATTTCAATTATTACTCCTACATATCTTCCATCCATATCTTGGAAAACTTGTTTTGGGTTCAGCCATTCTTTCACGTACGTCACCACTCCTCTCTTTTTCCCCTCACATGATGCATAAAACTCTTTACCTAATTTCTCATATTTCAGATGTTTTGTATGTTTGTTTGCCACATGTGTTTCCTGCAGTGCCACTAGGTCCATGTTTTTTTGCTTTAAGAAGTTGAAGATTTTCCTTCTCTTGCTAGGTGCGTTCAATCCATTGACGTTGTTAAAATGTATCCTTATGTGTCTACTCATGATCATCTTCAGTCATTCTCCACTCCGCAATTTCATGGGGAGGTATCAATTGATAGTTTTCTGGTGAAAACTCCCTGAGTCTTTTATTCTCCCTTTCATCTTGTCCTTTCCACGGGGTGTAATTCCTGATCTCAGTGTCCTTAGCCTTGTCTTCTCCTGCTGCTTCTTCTCCGTTTCCTGGCTTTGATTCCGGTCTTTCTTGTCTTTTAGTCTCTTTTCCTGTTGTGCTATTGTGAAATTTCCTTTGTGAGTTTTCTTGGGTTTTAGGTTTAATATGTTCCATATAGAAGGCTCTTGCTTTCTCTTCTGTATTTAGCCAGTATTTCGTGTCGTTCAGTGTCACTCTAATTCCTTCAATTTTTTCCCATTTGAATTTTATCTTTTTCCTGATGAGTTCTTCAGTTAAGAAGGAATACTTTCTTCGCCTGGCTAAGGTTTGCTGAGTCACTTCTTTCATGATTATTACTCTTTTCTCTTTGTAGTATACTGATTTTTTAATGTTTTCTTTAAGAATTACGTCTCTGGTGCTTTTGCGACAGAAACTTATTACTATATCCCTGGGAGTGTTATGCCTTTTGGCATAACCAGTAGAAACTCTGTACACCCTATCAACATCATTACCTATCATCTCTGTGCTTACTTCTAGTAGATCTGCCAATAATTCAATCATTATTTGCTTCACATTTTCTTCCTTTGATTCTTCTAAGTTTCTAATTCGTAGTTGGTACTCCAGCTCCTTATTTTCAATCATCTCGGTTTGTTGTTGCATTTTTTGGCTGATGTTTTCCAGTTTGCTAACTCTGTGTTCCATTTTTCCTTGAGCATTTGTTATTTTTTGGTTTTCTTTTTTCATTTTATCAAGGTCTTCCTGCAGTTTGTTTATATCCTTTTGGAGATCCGTTTTCATACTTTAAATTTCTTCTTGTAGTTCTTTATGTTGTGTGTCCTGTTTTGTTGATATTTTGACTATTTCGGCCAGTATTTGGCTGAGGGTTGTTTCTTCTGTCAATGAATCTTTTTTTGCTTGGCTTATTATTTTTGTCTGTGGCGTATTCTTCCCTTTTGTACTTTGCGTTGCCATTTTTGATTTGGTCTAGTTTTCCCTTTCTTCTTATTTCCTTATTTCTTATTTTTGTTTGCTTGTTCCTCTGCTTTTTGCTTGCTTTTCTTGTTCCGGCTTTCAATGTATCTTTTGTTTGCTTTTGTATTATGTTATCCTTTTCCTTAATTTTTTTATTTTATTTTTTTTATTTATTTATTTATTTATTTATTTTTTTTTTAATTTTTCTTTGTTGTATATTATGTGTATTTGATTTCTTACCTCCCTTCTAGTTTCTTCGTGCTTCTTTTTATTCTTTCTCCGCCTTTCGTGCTATCTTTCTTCTTCCTTCTTCTCTTTCCCTTCTCTTTCCTGTCACTCTGTATTTGCCCTTCTTCCGCCCTCTCTTCTTTACTCTTTAGAGCCTCTTCCGGTCTTTGGTCCTTCTCGCGTTGTCTCTTAACCTCTCGCGCTCCCTCGCGAGAGAAACCAGCCTTCACCTTTCCTTCTTCTCTCGTCCTCGCTCTCGCAGCTTTCGGCGTCTCCTTTTTTTTTTTTTAGAGTTGGCTTATCTTTGTTGTTGTTCGCGCGACTGGGACCTCGTCCTTCTCCTTATGGTCTCCAGTCCTTATCTATATTTCCTATGTTAGGAAAGTTATTACATCTTGTTAATTCAAAATTGCTTTTTATAAAATTCAGATGTGTTTCTCAGAACATGTACTGTGAAGGTGAATTTGAAGCATGAGACTGCCAGATAATCATATTGATGATTATGTATAGAATCAACTAAAAAGCTGTCCGTATTTTCAGAAACGTATCTAGGATAAACATAAATTTAGCAAACTGGTTTTTTTATTCAACAATGAATACGGGTGGGATTTGTTGTGATTAGGCTTGGGCAATCCATGGTTCTAAATGGTTCTAAAGTACTTACAAAACTAAAGTTCTGGTGATGAAAATTTCAAAACTCTAACAAAACTCTCAAAATTTCATTATAAATGGCAGTTCCTAATTGGTTCTGTCATAAAAATCGCCAATAATGAAATAATAATTACATATTGAAAGTTTTGTTAGAGTTCTGAAATTTTCACCACCAGAACTTTAGTTTTGTAAGTACTTTAGAACCATTTAGAACCATGGATTGCCCAAGCCTAGTTGTGATACATCCACTGTTGGTGGTGTTTTGACTTGATGTCAATTTTATGTAAGACTAGAATTTGATTTTTTTATTATTATGTTTATTTATAATCTCATCTCTCTACAAGGAGACTCAAAGCGGCTTAGTCTATTGGATCTTATTTTGTTTCAGAACTTCTCAGCTGCTGTGCACAGTGACACAGGAGAAAAACACTGGACCAAATATAATTGAGGACACAAACCAGAACCATGTCGAACAAAAGCCTGATTCCGATTCTGCCACAAAGATATTAATGGAGGAAAAGACCAAACTGGAAGAACAATTAAAAGAAATTACTGTAAGAATCATGTTGGTTTGTCTGTTTTTAAACGAATTAGTGCCAGTGGGGGCAACTTGTGGCCTGCCAGATGTGGAATTTCTCTTGCCTACATAACGTGTAGAAGCCACAAATTAATTGGTGGACAGGAATACTCAAATAACTTTTCAGTAATTGATTCAGGAATTAGAACTTGAAGTGGTAACAACAGCATAGCAAAGATATAAAATAAAGTCATGTATACATCAATCAAGACTATTTTGAAGTCTTTACACATGGCCCAATTTCCTCTCCGTAAGTCATTTGAAGTTGTAGCTCTTCATTGTGTAAAGGGGCGTAGTGCTTAGGGTTTGCCAGGAATTAATAAACAGGCTTGCTTTCCAAAGTGAATTCCGATTTTGTATGCTGTATTTGTGTACATTTTTGCCACAAAAGCTTCTTCATTTTTCAAAATAGACTGCTTATATTACGTGTTCATGCTGCAAAGCTTGAGTTGAAAAGGCTTGCAGTAAAAACAAGTCAGTGCTAAATGTGGCAGGTGGTTTAGGATTAAACAGAATGCAAATTCTATATATTTCTTATCTTACATGATGTTTTTTGACAAGTGTTCGTCCTCTCCCCTTTACACTCTATAAATTAGGTTTTTCTTTTTCAGGACAAATACAAACGTGCCCTGGCAGATGCTGAAAATCTACGACAGAGAACTCAGAAATTGGTAGAAGAAGCAAAATTATATGGTGAGTGTAGGACTTGCTTCTTGGTACTAAAATCAAAGCATTATTATTCATGTAAGTGAAAACCGAAATATATAAACTCAGATATGGCACTGCAGTGCTGCTTTGAGGATGTTGACAGTTTTCAGTTGGTATAAACATAATTTTGTTCTGTTTACAATGAGGCCAGATCCAGAGGTAGACTCTTTCTTTTTCTTAAGTCACCATAAAAATAATTCAAAGAGGCGTAAACCTTTGCATTTCTAACAAACTGTATCTGCCACAGTTCTAATCTAATACTCATACAAAGTCAAATGTACAGGAGATTCTTAGTATCTAGTTTGTTGGAGAGAATGAGGAGAGAATGACAATAATTAGATTATGCAATAACTCCATATTCTATGGTAGGGTTGAATGTGGGTTTGAAGACGCCTGGGTTGTTGGTAATGCTGCAGCTATAAATATTATGATTTTGCAAATATGTACAGAGTAATTCAGTGAAATCAGTAATATGCAAACTACTCTGTGGCACTGGCTCTGTATTTGTCCTCCAGAGAGATGCTCCTACACAGTTGAATGAATGTATATGTGCGTATAAATTAATAAAATTAATCGTTTCTTAAATCAGGCATGGATTTCTACCCACTTCATTTAAAATATATATATATATATATGGTATGTGGCAGTCCATGTGCCTCTGCCCCCCACTCCAATCTGCCATTCTTGGCTTAAAGTAACCCAAAGCCCCAGGCATTTGAGAAGGAGGTAGTTGGAGGAAACCTTCCATTTTCAATATCAGAAACAAATCTTCCTATCAGATGAAACAACAGTATATCTTTATGGTGTGAATGAAAATTTACTGTGGTTTTCCATTTTAGGAATTCAAAGTTTCTGCAAGGACTTACTGGAAGTTGCTGATGTTTTGGAAAAAGCCACTGAATCCGTTCCCAAAGAGGAACTCAAGGAAGACAATCCTCATCTGAAGAACCTTTATGAGGGTCTTGCCATGACAGAAGCTCAGATTCAGAAAGTATTCAAAAAACATGGCTTGATTAAACTGAATCCTATGGGAGCCAAATTTGACCCCTATGAACATGAAGCTTTGTTCCATGTCCCCATGGAAGATAAAGAGCCTGGCACTGTTGCTTTAGTATCTAAAGTTGGATACAAGCTGCATGGTCGTACTTTGCGGCCTGCTTTAGTAGGTGTTGCGAAAGAACCTTAGCAATATTCTCTGAAGTAATCAAAGCATCTCACAACTGTTTTGATTCCGGAATAATGCTTCTCTAAACACACAAGACGTGGGACGCTAAGCCAAGTCATAGATGGAGCATCGGTGCAAATGAAAGCAATGCTAAAAACATGTGTTTTTTAAAAAAGTGGCTACAGATAATGTGGGGAGATGAGTAAATGGGTGGCATTAATTCTAAGTACAAGTCGTGCATATTCTTCTTGTGATTATTCAGAACTATTCTGCATTGTAATTAGGCAACCTATCAACAAAAATAATGCACTGTAAATCATTGTCCAAGATGAAAGGCTTGGAACACTCAGTGTAATTTTATATTTATATCTTTTAGCACTGTTTCTTGCTCATTCCTTTATAAAGAGAAAGTTACACTTCAGTCTTGCATCTGCTTAATTTCTTCTGTTTCAAGGGACGCACGTAATAACGGAATCAATCTTTTCCATCTGAGTGGTGAACACCAAACATTTTGAAATGTCTGTTGGTAAATAAATTTTACTACAGCAAGTGGGCCAGGGCCATATGTAATACTGAGTTTTCTGTAGATCCATGGGGAACAACTGCGCAAGTTAGGAGCAACAGGAATATGCTTGTCCACAAGTGCATTGAGCTAAAAGTCTGCCACTGATGTGATTCCAGGGAACCTTGTTGATTAAACCTATACATATTTTTAATTGAACTATGCTTCTGCATTGCTCTTTTTTGGAAGCATTTTTTCATAACAGTTGAGTATATTTTATTTGAAATGCTTTAGAGCAGAAACTTTTTCAATTTGGGAATACCAGTATTTTCATACACTAAATGAAGCATCTTGGAAAGGAGACTCAAGTCTAAACATTAATACGTTTCATTATACGCTTTAGACACATTGCCTAAAGGTAATTTTATACAGTAAATAATTTTGTGTACATTGAACCATCAGGAAGCAAAGGTGTTACTATGTTTAGTTACCCTCATGGACAGTAATGTATTTTTGAGGATTTTGCTATTCTGGATAAGACATGTTTAATCTAGAAGTGGAGGTATACTCTCATATTTAAGTCCATATTGTCATACGTATCAGCATGCCAGCACAAACACATCAAATGTTGGTATTCTTTCTTATAGCCATTGATAAGAAAACAACCTTATTTGCTTACATACCTATTCGTAGCCTCAGTCTACATAATAGTGAAAAATCTACACACCATCTTGGCTTTATTTTCCACAGTAAGGAGGAAGTTTAAAAAAATGTATCTAGCCTTGGATTGGCAATGATGTGAGCCTTCAGGTGTTATTGATTGGATGTTCCAGTAGTGGAAGCTGGGTTGCATAACATGAGGGCCATATTTATTTATTTACTGCATTTATTGACCGCCGCTCTCAGCCCTAGGGCGACTCGCGGCGGTGCACAACATATAAAAACAGTTTACAAGAGGGCAAAACAGGAAATCAATACAACAATAATACACTATAATCTAGTTACACTAAATAATCCGCTCCGTCACATCATAGAATCATAACCAATATCGTAATCCGTATTCATCGTTCCAGTTGTCAATTACCATATGATTCCTGACATAGTATAAGAATAAAGGTTGTTTTGGTGAGAGCATCATTGTAAGCTCATTCAGATCTTTGAGTGGCCCATATTTTTCCCTAACTTTTCAGGGATAGATTAGATGTTCTAATGAGGTAAAACCAGCCATAATACTTTCAAACCCATCTTAAATTCAGGCACCTTTTAAAAAAAGTTGACTCGTAAAGGTAGCCCAGTCAAAATTGATTCAAAATACAATGTAAATACTATCATTCTAATTTTTTTTAAAAAAATATCTTCCACCTCTCTAAATAGAGTAGCAAAAGGAACAAGCTTAATCTATCCTGGGAGAACATAAAAAAAGCACTAACCCACTTTTTGAATGTCTAAGTAGGAAAAATGTGGTGATCTGGGGTGGATGACCCCAAGTCAGCACTGGCACTTTCTTCTCTCTGCAGAACAATCCTCGACTTATCCACTGGTCATATTAAAATCTGTAATTTTGACACCACCACCCCCCGCAACCATTTGAGTACTTACAGTACCTGTTCATGACAAAATGTTTTTCTTACCTTGTCCACTTGTATCAAAATGCTACAAAAGGTCCTCGCTCAGGCATTTTTAGTATGGCTATGCATTTCTCATTTTAATTCAATTGAGCACGTGTCAAATGCAAGCCTTGCGGGCCAGATCCGGCCCACTGCCAGTCATTTTATGAGGCCCACGGGGCTTTCAATGCCAGTGCAACATAATTACATTTATGCAATCTTACAAACAGCCCTTTGAGTAAATAGGTTTTACACCCCAATATAAAATGTTACCTTTTGTGATTACAGAAAGACATAGGAAAGTGCTGGTCTCCTATTGACTTTTGATATGTAAATGTGGAAAGTAGTTTTAAAAATGTCCCTGAATGGATTCTATGTTGTTCTTGAAATTTTGCTCACACTGATTTGGCTATATTGACTAGTGTAATCTGTTTATGGAAGTATTTGCATAATTATCCATGTAGCAAATGGTGCTCAACTAAATCTCAGCTTGCCACTTGTGTATCTTATGAAAATGTTTTCCCTTTGTAGTTTTTGCTCAGCAGGGCTTTATATTAAACAACTATTGGTAACTACACATTCCTCTTCACAACAGTTTTTCATCATGGGTACTAGTATATCTTCACATTGCCGCTGCTGCTGATGGCCGACCCAGAAACAATACTTAAAGACATATCCTGTGCAATATGAAAATAATCTTTCTCCTGAGCTGCTAAGCAAGTATGTGTGCTTGTCTGCACTTTTCAGGTGCTTGGAATACCTGCCAAGTGTGAAGATGTAGACTTAGCTTTGTATCTTTCTTTATTGTGAAAGACTTTTGATTGTTCTTCAAAAGTGCTTTGAGTGCTCAGCAAGTAGAAAACCAAAACAGCCTAAATTTTGTGGGATCGTTCCACTCTCTTTTCTGCAGTTCTAGAGATTAGTAGAACTGGCTACAAGTCACCTGTATCTACAGCAAAGTGCACATCATGGCCTTGCTCATTAGAGAGATGCTTTGTGAAATTGTGGAGCTCTTCCAATTTCATTTTAATGGAAAAGGGAAAGTGATATTACTATACAGGCAGTCCCCAAGTTATGAACAAGATAGGTTCTGTAGGTTTGTTCTTAAGTTTAATTTGTATGTAAGTTTGGACAGGTATTTTTAAGTGAAACTTCAGCCACCCATCTCTGTCTCTCTCTCTAGATAGATAGCATAGGGAAATGCTAACATCCCTGTGGTGTTTGTGTTGCTGTCTGAGACCCTATTAAGGAAATTTCACCTCACTTTCTATTCCTATGATAATTAGATGTTGAAAAATTTGGCTTGGTGATAAAGCTTCAGTTGAGACACCTTTTTCCCCATAATTACTCTTTCAGAAGTGAATTTCCCTTCCTGGGAGTAGATTTCTCTCACTGTTGCCTCACCATTTGAAACTATGAGTTGTTTGTAAGTCGCAACTGCCTATACAGTAATTGCACATCAATATAAAATTACTTGACTGTGTTTCCCTCAAATGTGCTCTGATAGTGCAGTATTAAACTAAAAAAATGAAAGCAACTTTGTTACAATCTGGTTGATTCTATAACAACACAACATGCAGTCAAGAGTTTGATATTTCTTTCCTGAACAATGAAAGTAGTCCCAGTGCAATTTACATGTTTGCATGTTAGGAAATAATTCTGCCATACATATTTCAGATTTCAGGCACTAGCGCAATGATTTCATTTAGTAATTTACTTCTAAATAATGTTAATGAAACATTAGTAATATTAAAATGTTTATTTGTAAATTTTTGAAGAGGCTTTGCAGGAAGATTTGTTTCTTGTGAAAATGCTCACTGTAAAAGCCTTTGCAGATGTGTAATAAATGCACAAACTGAAAACATGTTCAGAATATCAATAAGTTATGTTTAGCACCAGTTGCTTCTCTCAGGCAGCAGTAAAAGGCTAACAAAATGTAAGGCTTTGATCTTCCCTATCTGAGATTATTTGAAATGAACTACCAGATGTATGAATAGCATACAGACATACAGTCAATTTCTTATGGATCTGCTAAAACCTTAATAAACATCTAAAGAATGGCACCTGTGTAAGAAAGTTTAAGAATTTTAAAAAGGTCTGGACCACCTGGAAGAACTCCACTCTTCCTGAGAGTTACTTGTGCTTCAGTCCCATTGTCTTCAATAGGACTGTCTCTCGACTAAGGCCAAAATCTAAAGCTCTGTATCAAATCTATGACATGGTTGGGAATCACATGGCCCTCCATCTATTGGACTACTATCCCCAGCTTCCTCACTATTGCCTATTCAGGTTAAGGCTGCTGGGGAGCCTGACATCTGGTGAGCCACATGCTTTCCACCCCTGGTATAAAACCTCAAAACTTGTGAGCAGAGTTCTCAAGGCAAAATATAAATAAACTCACAATCTGAGATAGATTTTAATGAGAAATGAATTCTCCTGGGGACTGTGGCTTTCATACCATTAGTATGTTCATCAACTGCTAGAAGTTGGAATACGCCAAAGTTACCCCGTGGTAGCTATACAGAGCTGTACATTAATGATGAAACATTAAAATATGCAATAACAGGCTGCTTGTAACAGACAAGCTGGATCTGCAGCAAACTGAGAGGGTAGCCTATGCAACCATGGACAGCAAGTGGTATGCCATTTGTAATGCTTCCCTACACTGCCCTTGGTTGTGCTAGTTTATTACATGGAAGGAACATTTAAAGTACAATGCACCACTCAAGTCTGAATTGGAAAAAGTCCAGAATTCTGCATGTGTAGAACAGCACTGTATTCACAAAGAGTTTAAGAAAACAGGAGCCTTAAGGCTGTAATTTTAAGCACATTCACTATGGACAAAGTCAAAATGACTGCTGTAAACTTATGATTGTGCTGCCCATGTGCAGAGACCTGTTTTTCAAGGCCCAGAAAGTTCTGAATGACTTGTAAATAAGTGAGTAGCAAGCAGCAAGGTTGCTGAGTGAATAGATAGACTGCATAACTGGAGTATCAGACATAATCACTATGGTCTGTGCTGATGTTAGAAAACTTGTATACATCCAATCCTGGCTGCTTTCAACCTTTTCTTTCTATATCACAGCAAAACCGTTTCTAGAGCCACCATCATCCCAGATTTAAACACTGCTTGGATAGGTGCAAACAGCACAGTTCTTGCAAAGAAGGCATTGGGTAAAATGTACAGATTCCTGGATGATGGCTAATGTCCTGTCTGCTGTAACAGCCAATGAAATGGCAATGGATGAGTGAATATAACTCTTTTCACAAAAATAGCCCTGACTTAACTTCGAGTTTCTGTCTGCTCTACCACCCATTCCAATGGCATAAGGCATTGTTCCCAAATTGAGCCCTCATTACTTGCAACTGATTCCCAAATGTTGCTTAGATAGTCTTCTATTTTATTCTCCGCAAAGTCTGAAAAACAAAGGAGGTTGCCTAGTCACTTTTAGGCTACATTAAATGCCTGCTGAGTGATGTGTTTTTGGTCATCATAACTGGCTGCAAACTACCTGAAACCCATTACACAGAAAGTTTTAAAATAAACAGGTTAGTCTGGCTGATACTCATTGTCCCTTCAATCAAATGCAATTTGTTGTAAAAAAAACAAAAAAACAAGGAACAGTGACGCACTAGAGATTTGGGCTCACCACCACTGCATGTAGTGCATTGGGACACTACGTATTTGCCAGGTCTTCCAATGGGAGCTAAGCTATATTTAACCAGATCGGGGCTGGAAAACATTTAGCCTGCACAAAGCCAAATAACTGAAAAAGGAGAACCGTTAATGATAGAATCCTTGCTATATTTGAGGATGAGATAATTGTATAGCCCTCCAAATCCTTCCTAATAGCAACTCCCAGAAGCGCTAGTCAGCATTTTGAATGAAGAGAAAGTTGCAACCAATGGGAGGACAACATAATTCCCAATTCTGCTTTAGCATGAGAGGGATCTGTTTCCAGTGGTTTTCTCAAAAAGAAGTCAACTTCCTTTGGGGCAAAAACAGCTCATGTTTTGATGTGTGTGTGGTACTCGGCAAGTCCCTAAAAGGCAATATTAGCCCCTGGAATTTGGCCTTCCCTAGAAAAATAAGTCATCTACCATTAAAGCTGTTCTTCATGAAATATTTTGTTTTTAATGCCATCTTGTCTGATATTTTACTAACAGTAAAGCAGAACACAATGCTTTGCCAATGATCAACAAAGCAGGTTCATGGCTAAAGATGCTCATCAACAAATCTTAATCTTGCTGTGCTTTTGTAATTCAGTATCCAAGATTCAGAAATAGGCACATGCAGCACATGCACAGATATTCCAACAAAAGAACCCAAAAGATTCAATGCAACTTGCTTCCATGTAAATGTGCAGAAAATAGCATCCTCAGACAGAACTATAAAAAAAAAAAAAACCCCACAACTGAAGGTTCCCCCACCCCCTACAAAAATAGCTTGTATGGCAGAAATACTCAAAAACTGATGCTAGGGCTTCATGTTTCACATTTAAGACACTAGTCAACAGATCAATGAGCAATTTCATCATAATGTCTTTTACAAGATGACTTCCAAGTGTAGGGCACAAAGTAGAATTTACCATTTGCATGATCTAATTCAGAAAAATCTATTGGTTGAGGAGTTGGCATTTAACAAGATATAGCCTAGGTGTGTTTGTGTTTTAAAGAGGCAGGTAAACAGACTATTCTTGACAACAATGGGTCCTTAGTTCATAATAATGCTATTCAAAAGCAGACAAAATTCAGGAAGCATCCCTTGATATCCAACCACTTTCCGTTAAGAAATTCAAAATCCTTTTCTTTAGTACTTTATCCAAGTAACTAGGTAGACGACTTTTGGATGGAATGCCCTGTCTTTTTTGAAGATGATCTTTAATGATGATAGTTTTAACAGTCACATAACGTGCAGGACTCAGATTAATAGAACTACAAAGTACTTTCTCTCGGTCAGATAACAATTCAAAACCAGGTAGATTTTCAATTGTAGCAAATTCACCATCTTTACCATCTTCTTTTCCTCTTTTAGAAGTACTAATGTTTTTATTTTCTTTCCTTTTTTCTCGTTTGTGTCTGGCTGCCTCATATTCTGCAGACTCTTCCATTTTGGTTATACCATTCCGTCGATACCGCTGTAGTTCCCTAATCTTGGTTCGAAGAATCTTCTCTTTGTGTAGGTTTTCAAAAAAGTCATCAAACTCCTTGCAAGACATAAACTGATAGAGAGACCGGAGTTTTAATCTCAGCTCTTTTTCTTCTTTTGTAATTTTGCGTTTCAAAGGTTTTTCTTTGTCTCTTCTTTCCTTCCCCAGAAAAGCAGGAACCAGGTTGTAGTCACGGGCAATGTTCTTTCGGCGCTGCCTTTCCTTCAATTTTCTTACATACATGTCTACATGGGCTCTTTTTAATTCAATTTCCACATCGTCATCATCATAATTAACTGAAAGGCCACTAATCAGAGTCTCAGCATCTTGGTCATACTCAATCTCATAATCATCACGAAGTGGCATGTAGCCCAGCTGTTGTTGTTCAGCCACTGATATGTCCAGGGGTGGCAAAGGCATTGTTAGACTAGGAGAAAGTGGACCACCGCTTGGGCAGGTATGATCTGTCACTCTGTTTGGAATAATATCAGGGATGCAGGCCTTTCCAAGATTACCATGTATATACATGCTCACATAGTGTTCCATTACTTCCTGGGGTGTCCGTGATGCTCCAACATGAGCAGCCATATCTTCCTAAAATAGAATGAAAGAATACCAGAACTATTAATATGAGAAACCTCAAGACAACAGTTTACAAGAGGAGAAGGGAATCTGTGATTCTCCTGATTTAAGACTCCATCCATCTCCTGCTAATGTCCCAAGTGGTCAAGGATGATAGCACCTGGAGGCCCTATTCTCTGAAAAGCCATAGGTTCCGGACCTCTGTATGACAAGAAGATTCCATATATGTACGAAATATTTTGACTATAGATTCTTGAGACCTAGAGATTCCTGGAGAAAAACACCTCTAAGTCCTCCACTTCAAAAACTGTAAGACTCGCAACTTACTGATATGTAACACAGCAGACAACTAGCCCAAGCCTATTACAGCAATTTACTCTATTTAGGATATCTAAAAGATTATGATGATACCTTTCTCCCAGTAATGACACTCAGGATGAATAACTATATTTTAAAACAATACAGAAATACAATAAAAACTGTAATAAAAATATAAATATAGAACTGAATTAAAAAGCAACTTGTAAACACTAAAACATTACAATTCATTACAAGGTTAGACAAACTATAAATACATTAAAATGTGTTAGATGCTTTTCTATCCAATAAGGCCATGCACAACGATTAAAATACACAATAAAAATATTTGTCTTATGATAGAAGACATCAAAATACAACAAAAAGGCGACCCAATCAGCTCCAGGGAGTTACAAGAGAATGTCGTGTCAGGAGTGACTTGAGAAGCTGCAAGTCGCTTCTGGTGTGAGAGAATTGGCCGTCTGCAAGGACGTTGCCCAAGGGACACCCGGATGTTTTTGATGTTTTATCATCCTTGTGGGAGGCTTCTCTCATGTCCCCGCATGAATCATATCAAGAGAATGAGTGAATTATACAAATCAAATACAAAACTAGCCAATGCCTAGATGACTGCCTTAACTACAGGGTTGGCTTGGGAATCCATTCTCGGGTTGTGACAACACAGAATGCCTGATTCCACATTTTCAGTGGAGGTTTCATAGAGCAAAGAACTGAAAAGTGATGTGGAAACTGGATTATTTCAATCTGGAATGATCCTTCAAAACCAAGTGAAAACCAATGACAACAGAGCAGAGCTTTCCAAACATTACCTGTTGATGCACGCATGCTTTTGCGACACAATCGTTGGCTTTTCCTAGCAAACGGGAGGTTAGACCAACCCCTTAGAAGTGATATGGGCACATATAAACTGTAATAACAAAATGTATGGGGATATAACATATCTCACGAAAATCTTTCATTTATATTTTAAAATATGATTTATTGCTTATTTCACATAGACTCATTATTAGTGCGACACGTCTACAAGTGGCAACCGACACTAATGCAGAATTTTCCATGCTGTGTGTCTCAACACATTCGTGTGTCGACTGTCATTTGTAGGTATGTTGTGTGAATAAGAAATAACAAAACCTTGGAAATTGATGTTACTATCTTCCTATCCTATCTGATTTGTCGTTGATCCACTCCTTTGGATTTCACATAACTCTACCATTTGCCAAAATATATGACCCTGTTCTTTTCTTCTTCTTTGTCTCATAGATTTCATTGACCACATCATGTATCCCTGTTTGTTGACGCAGCTCTTTATTGCTAACTTTATCTCTTACTATCACACCACACATCCTTCTTTCAATTGCTCTCTGGGTCACTGCCAGTTTTTCCTGTTATTATCTTATTACCCTGCATTCTAAAGAACCTAGGCTGTATGATGTATTTAGGGGTGGTTTAAAAGTTTTATTATAGTTCAATGCATGTTTTAGGACATGTGGCAGCAACTAATAATATTTGGTCTTATACGTTTTCTGCTGCCCTGGTGACTAGGACTCAGAACAATTGCTTCAAACTACAGGAATGGAGATTCCACCTGAACATTAGGAAAAACTTCCCAACTATGAGAGCTGTTCAGCAGTGGAACTCTCTGTCCCAGAGTGTGGTAGAGACTCCTTCTTCAGAGGTTTTTAAACAGAGGCTGGATGGCCATCTGTCAGGGGTGCTTTGAATACAATCTTCCTGCTTCTTAGCATGGGGTTGGACTGGATGGCCCATGAGGTCTCTTTCAACTCCATGATTATATTATATTAACTTTTATTATGCATGTTTTATCTGCTGTAAGCCACTTTGGACCCTTAAGTAGGGAAAGGCTGAGTATGAATGAATGAATGAATAAATAATAACAATAAATGTGAAATATATAAATGAAAAGTTTTTATGAGATGAGTCCAAAGATGTTTCATTATTGCAATTCTTGCATGTGTGTGGCTCTGATAAAGTGTTGGTTGGTTAAACCTTGGCTTTGCTAGTAAAACTGGATTAGTATGCTGCGAAATGATGCATGCCTCAAAAGGTGTTGACACCAACATGGAAGCCTTTGCAGCATTTGACCAGCATCTTTCAAATGCAAGCAAGTCAAATATTGACTACTGGGTGAGGTGCTAGCTGTGCCTTCCAGAGCTGCGGTGGCACAATGGGTTAAATCCTTGTACAGCTGAACTGCTGACTTGAATGTCGACAGTTTGAATCTGTGAGACGGGCTGAGCTCTGTCATCTCCAGCTTCAATGCAGGGACATGAGAGAAGCCTCCCACAACATCCGGGAGTCCCCTGGGCAACATCTGTGTGGGTGGCCAATTCTCTCACACCAGAGGCGACTTGCAGTTTCTCAAGTCGCTTCTGACACGATATAAAAATAATAATAAAAGCACCTCAGCAATGAAAGTGTAGCAAGGATGCAGTAAGCCTAGACATTCTAAAAGAGTTCTCCAGATTGCACTTGTTCTCTCAGGAGAGCAGCAGCAGATAGTTTCCAGCTGTTTCTGTTGCCCTGTTTCCCACAACATAGGAATAAAAGAGGGGATGTGAGGCGATGGAGAAGCTTTAATGCTGGAGAGACTTCCACACAGAATCTCCAACATTAGATTTCCTCTAAAGGCCTCATTTCTAGAGGGCAGCTTCGAGCAACAGCTATGGATGAAGTTTGGGAACCTGAGAGGCAGGCCCCGTCTGGCGCCTGGAAGGCCGCTGCTCCAAGGCTCCTCCTCCTCCTCCCCCTCCTCGGCCCTCCTCCTCACCCAGTTGCCGAAGCCGAACTGCTCGATGGCGTCCAGGAGGAGCTGTTCTTCGCGGCTGCTCCACCCGCCCTCGGCCTCGGCGCCCCAGAGCGTGAAGCGCCCTCCGTCCACCAGCTGGTAGCCATGCCAACGCCGGTGCGGCCCGATCTCAGCCCCCGCCGAGAAGCACTCCGGGCAGAGCTCGATGTCGACGCACTCGGTGCAGCGGAACCGGAGCGAGCTCACCTCGGCCAAGCAATACACGCAATACTTTTTGCCCAGCTCCGCCATCTTGGCTCGCCGTGCCCCCTCCCTCCTTCTTTCCTTCCTTCCCTCAGAGGAAACGGGGCCCGGCGCACCTGTGACGTCCCGGGCGGCGACGGGGGGAGGAGGGAAGGCGAGCGGCCAATGAGGAGCCGGAGCGCCGGGAGGGCCAATCAGCGTCGAGGTTTGGGATGCGTTTCCCCTCGCAACCGCGCGCGGGGCCGAGGCCGCTGTTGCCTAGCGACGGAGAGGCGCCGAGGCCCGTCAGTTTGGAGAAATGGAGGAGGAAGAGGAGAAAGTGATGGAGGCCGCGGCGGAAGAGGCCGCGGCTCTGACAGAGCCCGAGCCGGAGAAAGAGGAGGAGAAGGCGGAGGGGAAGGAAGAGGAGGCGGAGGGGAAAGAGGAGAAGGCGGAGGAGAAACCGGAGGAGAAGGAAGAGGAGAAGGCGGAGGAGAAGAAGGAGAAGGTGGAGGAGTCCGAATCGGCTCGGGAGACCTCCTCAGAGGCGGAGGTGGCGGTGGCAGTGGTGGTGGCCAGTCCTCCGCTGCCTGAGGAGGCAGAGGCACAGGCTGTCCCTGAGGCGCCGGCGGACAAGGCCCCGGATGAAGAGCCCCTTCCAGCGGCGGAGGGAGAAGCGGAGGCAGAGGGCGCCGCCGTGGAAGGAAAGGCGGAGGAGGGAGCCCCAGAAGATGAAGGCCCGAAGCCGGAAGGGGAGGGGGAGGGGGAGCTGCCGGCGCCTGAAGGGGGAGAGGAAGAGCAGGAGGAGAAGGCGCAGGAGGAGGAAGCCGCCCCGAGCGAAGAGGCACCGCCTGAGGAGAAGCCGCCGGCGGCGGCAGAAGGAGAAGGAGAGGCAGAGGCAGAGAAAGAGGGCGCGGCGGAGGAGCCTCCCCCGCCCCCGCCGCCCAAGCCCGAGCTGCCCATCTCGGTGACCTTCGCGGAGGGCGAGGCGGCGGAGCCCTCCCCGCTGCTGCTGGGCGCCGACCTGACCCGCCGCATCAGCCTGAGCCTGTGGGAGCTGGACAGGGTGCGCGGGCCCTCGCTGGGCTCCAGCCCGGAGAGCGCGGGCGCCCTCTCTCCGGAGCGCGAGAGCGAGGAGCATCTGGCCGCGCGCCGGGCCGAGGAGAGGCGCCGCCGGGAGGAGATGACGGACCACTTCCAGATGCTGCAAGTCGAGCGCTGCCGCCTCCGCAACGAGAACCTCAAGATGCAGGCCAAGCTGGGCGAGCTGCTGGCCCGAGGCGTCAAGGAGGGCCCCCCCCGCCCCGCCGCCGAGCTGGAGCAGCACATCTCCGACCGCGAGCAGCGCTACAGCCGCTACCTGGCCTCGCTGGAGGAGCTGCGCGCCCACCAGGCCGCCGAGGGCGCCTGGTACCGGAGGCAGCTCGAAGCCCTCCACGACTCCTGCCAGGAGAAGCTGGGCAAGGTGCGCGCCGAGTGGCAGGCCTGCCAGGCCGTCAAGAAGGAGGTGGCCGTCTTCACCATGGGGCGGCGCCTGGGCGGCAAGCAGGCCGCCAAGAAGGAGGTGGACCAGATCCAGGCCCGTGAGCAGGCCAAGGAGGACGAGATGACCGAGGTGGGTGGCCTTCCGCCCCCCTGCGCTTGAGTCCACCTCCCCGCCGGTCAGGCATGTCTCAGGGTGGTCCGCGAGAAGGCCTTATTGGTACATTTAAACCAGGGGTCCTCGAACTTTTTAAACCGGGGGCCAGTTCACTGTCCCTCAGACCGTTGGAGGGCCAGACTCAGCTATGTAGCGGGGGGGGGGGGAGCTTGGGGGCTTCAGCTCCCCCCCCGAAATTCTCATGGTGGTTGCGAAAAGGCCTTACTGGTGCATTATTTAAACTGTTATGTTTATTCATATCATGATCTGATCACCATGCTCAATATATCCCATATGCATGGGGGTATTGGGGTAATGATACAAAAGGTTTGCTAGGGTAGACCCTCTTTCACTCAGACTCAGCCCTCCCCCCCAAAAAAAAATCGAAATCCTGGCTATGGGCCTGGCCAGACTATAGTTTTAAAAAAAAAACAATAAAAAAATTCCTATGTACATTGCACATATCTTATTTTGCTGTGTGGAAGGGCCCTTAGAGTAGGCCACGCGGAACAGCTGCCCTTGGCTGGCTCACGCTGCCCATCGGGCCTGACTGATAGCGTGAGCCAGCCAAGGGAGGGGCACTGTGGGGGGGGCGCTCCTCCTCCATGGGCCGGATAAGTGCCCTTGGCGGGCCGGAAGTGGCCCGCGGGCCCTAGTTTGGGGACCCCTGATCTAAAAGCTTGAGTAGTTTCCTCACTGGGACAGGTTACTTTTACTTTTCTCCATTCCAAAAATAAAGCTTTGAAGTAAATGTAGCATTTAACCCAACTTTAATTTAATGATCTGTTGTCAGGTTTACAACAATTTGGAAAACACCACTCTAGATCCAAAATATTGTCGAAGGCTTCCATGGCTGGAATCACTGGGTTGTTGTAGGTTTTTCAGGCTATACGACCATGTTTTAGAAGCATTCTCTCCTGACGTTTCAACCTCACAACCTCTGAGGATGCCTGCCATAGATGCAAGTGAAATGTCAGGAGAATTCTCTCCTGACATTTCTAGAACATGGCCATATAGCCCGAAAAACCTACAACAACCCAGCCAGTAGGCTATTAGGAATTGTGGGAGTTGAAGTCCAAAACCCCCTGGAGGGAGGGCCGAAGTTGGCCCATGCCAGGTCTAGACTCTCCACTACAGCAGTGTCTTCAACAATGTTTCCACTTGGGATCACTTCTGGCCTGACACATTTTTTACATAAATTGAAAATAGGTAGCATTTATTGACAACAAAGCAGCATTTATAAGCATAGGGTTGGAAGAGACAGCATGGGCCATCCACCCAACCCCCTGCCAATGAAAGCACCCCCAAGAGATGACCATCTGGTTTCTGTTTAAAAGCCTCCAAAGAAGGAGCTTCCACCACACTCCAAGGCAGAGTTCCACTTCTGAACATCACTTACAGTCAGGAAGTTCTTCCTAATGTTCAGATGGAATTATGCATGGACTTAATTGTAAATGGCTTACAAAACTATGGGATGCTGGTGCTTTGCTTCTAAAGTGTTTCTAAAGTGGGTGCTTTGCTTTCAACATTTAATTATTATTTCGTTATTGGCGATTTTAATGATATTTTTATGAGATTATTGTGCCTTAATGACAGAACCAATTATAACAAAATTTTATAAAATTTTGAAAGTTTTGTTAGAGATCTTAAATTTTCACCACCAGAATTTTAGAAACACTTTAGAAACAAAAGCACCAGTACCCCCTAGTTTTGTAAGTACTTTAGAACCATGGATTGCCCATGCGTACTTGGAATCTTTTTTTCCTTTAGTTTGAAGCCATTTCATCCTAGTCCTAGTCTTGAGGGCAGGAAAAAACAGCCCTGCTCCCTTCCCTTATGACATCCTTTCACACACATGGCTGTCATGTCTCCTCTCAACCTTCTCTTCTGCAGGCTTAACCTACCCAGTTCTTCATCATAGGGCATGGTCTCCAGACCTTTCATCATTTTAGTCACCCCCTCTGTACACACTCTAGCTTGTTAGTATATCTCTTACATTGTTGTGCCCAGAATTGGATGCTGTTATTCCAGGTGAGATCTGAATAGAGGCACCACAACTTCCATTGATCGAGAGCAGGGATGAGTAAAGCCAGGCCCGGGAGCCAGATGTGGTCGCTTGGGCTTTTTCTCAGGTCCTCCTCTCACCATCCTATCCTTCCTCCTCTTTCCTCCTTCCTTCCCCTGCTCTTTCTCCCTCCCTCCCTTCCACCTTTTTGACTTTCCTTCCTTTTCTCCCTCCTTCCCTTTTCTTTCCTTCCTTCCCTCCCTCCATTCCCTTCCACCAATCCTTCCTTCCGTTCTTCTCCTTCCCTTCCTCCTTCCCTCCTCTTTTTCCTTCCTCCTTTCATCCTGGGGGGTGTTTAGCTGGAAGAAGAGACGGTAGAATCATGTTTCAAGATTTAAAAGTGTGCCCCTTATCTTGTAAATGCTGATTTGTTATCAGTAAATGTCTTGATTTTTATACCTATACACCAGGGGATGTGTAAATATTTCTCAGGCCAAAAGGGGTCCCGAGTAGAAAAGTTTAGTAATCTCCAGTGCATAATAGTATCTCTCAAGTTCTCCCATGCAAGGAGGCCAAGAGATCTTCTCAATACTGATGGTATCAAGAGCTGTGGAAAGATTTAGAGAAACCCAAAGGAATGCTTTCCCCCGCCTCCCAACTGCCAGTCTTCATCATATTTGCTTGAGTGATTACCGTATATTCTGGTGTATAAGACTACTTTTTAACCCAAGAAAATCTTCTCAAAAGTCAGGGGTCGTCTTATACGCTGGAGTAGCCTTATACATGGGAGTCATCTTATAGAGTGGGTGCTGAAACTTCCAATCAGATTGGAGAATCTGTGGTTGCCGCATATGGTGGGGGAAGCTCAAAAATGGCAATGGCTATGTCCCTGCCATATGTAGAGTCTGTATGAAATCATTAAGGGCGACGCTGTACAAGTACAGTAGAAGAAAATCCATTCATCGGGATTTGTGGACTTAATGCGGTCCCGATGGTGAGGTGAAGGGTCACCTCACCGGGAAGGTGTAAGTGAAGGGCAGAGCAAGCTGCAGGCTTCTGGGGCGCCCCGGGTATGGAAAAAAAGAGTAGAGTGACTCTGGGCCCAGAAAAACACACCTCTTTTACCTGTCTGGCCCGCCCTTGTATCCTATTACCATACCTCCTCCTCTGCCTCTCAGATCTTGCTCCTGAAGACTGCAGTGAAGCAGTGCAGGTGCGCATGTGCGAGATTTGAGAGGCAGAGAAGGAGGTATAGTAATAGGAAATTATTTATTTATTTACTTTACTTTACTTTACTTGTATACCGCTCTTCTCAGCCATCAGGCGACTTGGAGCGGTTAACAACCAGTATCAGCAACACAGTACAAAATCATTAGTCATTTAAAACAGTAGCATCAATTAATTAATTAATTTACCATATTGAAATCACATCTGATGCTTTTTAAATTTTTATTTTGTGTGCATTGGAAAAGGGGTAGTCTTATATGGCGAATATATCCCCAACTCTATATTTTAACTGGAAAAGTTGGGGGTCATCTTATACGCCCAGTCGTCTTATATACCAGAATATATGGTAAGTGGCCCTAACCAGCCAAATCGGAAAATACACTCACACAAGGTAAACAGGAATGGGAAATTTAAACTAATTTATTCAGATCAGAAAAGTAGGGAGCACCTCACTCTCATAAGTTGAACTGCTCTGCTAGTTGAGCCTTTTAGGGGAGATTCCATTCTGATCAATTGGACCATTATATTTTTAAGGCTGCAGCTCTATTGGTATCTCTGTCTTAACTCTTGTCTCTCATTAGGGGGTAGGGCAAAGCTAGCTGCAGGCTCCTTAAATCAGTCAGTCCTTCAGAGCAGGCATATCTGTTTAAAAGGAATATGGCAATAGTGTTGACATTTCCACCTAGTGCAGTGGTTCTCAACCTGTGGGTCCCGAGGTGTTTTGGCCTACAACTCCCAGAAATCCCAGCCAATTTACCAGCTCTTAGGATTTCTGGGAGTTGAAGGCCAGAGCATCTGGGGACCCACAGGTTGAGAAGCACTGTACTACTGGGATGTTATGCCCAGTGTACTTTTTGAAGCCAGGTCAAAGTGAATTTCTAAGTCTTGGATTGCAAATAGAATAAAGCTTTCTTACAAGAGGTATTTATTGCAGACATGATCAAGCAGCCAAACACACCAAGTTTTTAAAACTGGAACTACAACACAATTAATGGAGGAAAATATTCATTCAGCACCATCACATTGATTTTCACAGCAGGTACCTTGCATGACAACTGGAGTTTTAGTTGATTAGTAAAGAATAAAAAGGGCTTTGTGGTAATTCTAATAGCACTTCAATAGCTTCACCAGATTTTTTTTAATTCTAGGTTCGTCTAGACTATATAAAGTTGAAGCACCGGATCCAAAAACTTGAAGCAAACCTAAAAGCCCAGGAGGAACTGGCAGAAGGTCTGCACTTAATAGATTTTGAGCAATTGAAAATTGAGAACCAGACCTACAATGAGAAGATTGAAGAGCGCAATGAGGAGCTTTTGAAGCTCCGGAGAAAGATTACACACACAGTACAAATCATATCTCAAGTAAAAGAAAAGCTGCAGTTTGTGGAAGCAGAGAATCAAGTTCAAAAATCCCAGTTAATGGCAGTTGAAGCTTTAGTGGCTCAAAAGAGAGAGATTCTAACTAAGACTAAACAGGCTCGGGATAATTTACGATTGGACAATGAGAGGCTTCAGCAAAAGTGTGGTTTACTTGGACATACACTGTTGTTGAGGGACTATGAAAACAAAGTGAATGCTGCTGAGGAATTCAAGGAGCGGCTTGAGGGATTGAAGCGTCGTCATGCTGGACTCAGTCTTTCATGCCAAGGAGTCAAAAGGAAAATTGAAGGGGTGACATCTTTTCTCCCATTGTAAATTACTATGGTTTAAATGTTGAAAAGACAAGATTTTAGGGAATATGCAGTGAGCTGTTAACATACCTGTTTGTCGATATAATTTATGATTGAGATTATTGTGCCTTAATGTAAAATCAGTCTTATCCACTTGGTTTACAACTATCAAAAGTATTTTTAAACCTGGTGAATTGCATACTATGCGGAATCAACTTTAAAGAGGATTCTGTCCAAGGAATTCTTTGAGGCAATAATGTAATATTGATACTGCCCTACTACCCATTTCTGGGCTATCCTTACTTCTGCATATTTTACCAAGCATTGTGGTAGATAACATACATTTCTCCTCCTCTTCCTCCTTTATAGTATCTTTAGAATGCTTTTAATAAAGAATTATTATTTTAACAGTAGACTGTGTTTTGATTCCTCTAGAGAAGTTAGCATACTTTACAGTGTTAAAATGTAAAGCAATGGTTATTTGATGCCTTCTTTTAGTCTTCCAGGGGGAATTCTTCATTTAGTGAAGACAATTACTGCAGCATTGTGAATGGTAGGGAAACATTCTTGCTGGGTTCCACCTGTAAGATAACTAATTAGTGACAGAGTTGGGTATAATATTTAGAAAGCTTATTTATTTGTTTGTTTGTTTGTTTGTTTGTTTGTTTCACTTCATTTCTACCCTGCCTTTCTCACCTGAAGGGACTCAAGGCAGCTTACAACTCTGGCAAAAGTTCAATGCCGGTAAAAACCAGCAATAACAATAAAACTTAAAAGTTAAAACAATTGAAATTAAGCAATAATACTCATAAAACAATATACAAAATTTAAAAAACATAAAGTACATAGTTCCATTCATCCAAAACCCTGCTCATAATCCTTAATCCAGATCATGTTGAAACTATAGAAACTTATTCTTCGAATGCTTGTGTGCGGAGCCAGGTCTTCAGCTTTTTTCTAAAACCCAGACGGGATGGGGCCTGACTGATGTCACTAAGGAGCCACTACTGAGTAGGCCCTGTCTCTCGTCCCCACTAGTCGCACTTGGGAAGAAGGTGGAACCAAGAGCAGGGCCTCCTCAGAAGATATTAAAGTTCTAGTAGGCTCATAAGAGTATATGCATTCAGACAGGTAAGTTGGATCAGAACCATTTAGGGCTTTAATTGGAAGGAAATTAATTCTAGTAACATCAGTAGTATTTAATCAAAGTATTAAACTATAGGCTATTTACTGGGATGAGGTATTTTAGTCTTAAAAACTACTGAATTCCTTCCAGGTGTTTTGGACTTTAGTTTCCAGAATTCCTGACTACTGGACATACTAGCCAAGGCTGGGAGTTAGGAGTCCCAAACACCTGGGGGGCCATGGGTTGTGCAGGCCTAGGCCATTCTGAAAGTTTTGAAATATAGACACCAGAGACAAATATATTTGGAATTAAGTGCAGAAACACTGCACAAGTTAAATGCACAACTATTTACAGAGAAATGAAGAGTAGCATTTCATAAGGTGAAAGGAGGCCGGCAAGTGCACACACTTCCCATTTAAGCTTGTAATCACCCAAATCGAGTAAACTTAGCTCAACCAAACTACAATTGGCAATACAGAAGGCATCTGTTTTTAAAAGTTTAAAAATCTATTTTCAAGAAATTGTTCTTATTAAGAGACATTATTTGTGTACTGAAGTATGCACTCCCAATAGTTGACTCTCATTCCTGATTTCAGCAGATAGTTTTTTTTCTCGGTCAACTACAGCCCAGCACTTTAACAAGTTACGATTTTATTGTGCCTCCAACTTCCCAAAACCAGTGTACAATTTCTGTGTTGGAAGTACTTTGATCTTTACAGCTTAAAGGACCATATCTTGGAAAATCTCTGTACTTTGGACCCTGAGAGCGGCACAGCAACAGGTAAAATAAATCCACCTGCATCCCAACAAAATTGAGATTATTGAACAAAGCAATTATGTAGAATAGTATACATCTCCAGAGACATAAACATTTTATTTTTCAAGTTATTAGATGCAGTTCAGGCTACCAATTTGGTCAATATAGACGATATAAGAGTCACCTAAAAGTACAACACTGACAATATACATTTAAATAAGCTTGGGCTACATTTTAAAAAATCTGTTTTAAAAGAATCAAAGAGAACATGATGCTTCCATTGAGGATGACTTTGAACTATCAATCCTTTTGCTCCTTTACTTATGATTGTGGTACGCCTCATGCTGCTAGTGACTTGTGTGCAGTCTCCAGACTTTCCCCATTGCTGTGAAAAACGGAAGGTGGATGGTCCTGTGGAGTCTCAACAAACATTAGAAAACGTCAGGAGAGAATGCCTCTAGAACATGGCCATATAGCCTGAAAAAATCTACAACAACCCAACATTAGAAAAGCTTGCAGAAGCAGCAGTTCTTTAAAGTCAGCCCCTTATCAGAAAATGTGCATTCTTCTCCCTACATTATTTGGATCTATGACACTTTGTGTTTCTCAAGAAGCATCTGCATCTCAGTTCTGTACTACACAAGACATAGCAAGTGTGTCAGGATGGTGGGAAGATTAAGAAATGACAGGAAGGAAGATGAGACAACTGGTTCCTCTGTGGTCTGAACTCCCTTCTCCTAGCTGTAGCTTTGTACAAATTCATTTCTCTCTTCCAACTTGAAAGGAGAATCCCTTCTGAGAAGTTTAGTGCAATATTTATTTATTTTGCAAGGTAAGATAATAACATTAAAATATTTATACCCTACCTTATATTAGATCTCTGAGCAGCTTACAAAAAGCATTAAAACAAGTAACAGTTTAAAAAAGAATACTGAAATAAGCTAAATACTTATTAAATGTTAAAACAGATTTTAAAGATTTTATAACTAGGTTTGGGTTGAATTAATGGTCCCTAAATGATATGTGTGGGTGTCAGACAACCTGTGGAAGGAGGGCTTTCCACAGTTAGGGTCCTTCACTTGAGAAAGCCCTCTCCTATGTCTCAATAGTGTATGGATATCACTAGAAGAACATGCTGAAGCCCCCCCTTCCCCCCAAAATCAGACCTTAATCTTTGGGCAGGCACATATGGGAAGAGGTATTCCCTCAAGTATCAAGGTCTTAGAGCTTTAAATGTCATCACATGCACTTCGAATTTAGACTGGAAATGTACTGAGCCAATATGCTGCCTATATGGTATTCAGCCAGCAGTTGAGCTGCTGTGATTTGCACTAACTTCAGTGTCTGAGTTGTCTTCAAAGGTAGTCTCACACAGAGCACATTACAGTAGTCTAATAAGGAGGTTACTAGTGCACAGACTACTATCACTAGGTTATCTTTATCCAGGAAAGGCTATACCTGGTGAACCAATATAAATAAGTACTAGCAATAGTATCCTTTGATAGCAGGGGTTTGTGTTCTTTAGCTGTGTGACTTCAGCATACTAAATGGATGAAATCTATGCCAATGCTGTGTTAAAGGTAGATTTTGTAAGATAAAACACACACAAAACAATGCAACTGTCCTTTTATCTTTTATTTGGTGTTTAGTAACTCCACAAAAACAAATTCAGTTACCCTGGTGTATGTGAAATCAGAACAATACAACCACTTGAAGCAAAAAAGTAGAAACAAATTCAGCCCAGGAATGAAAAACTGATACTTCAGTGCTATGGATATGCAATGCGCTTCATACCACAGTGCATTTTAGCATCTCCACTTTTTAAATTATCCTCGCAGAGAAACAAAAACACAAACTCACACATCAACCTTCTCACTGGAAAGCTTCAGAATTTTATCCATTCAGTTATGAAACAAATAAATATTATTTGTTATTGCCCACACATGTAACATGTACATTTTCAAAGATGTTAAAGTATTAAATCATAGTATAATGAATCATCCTTTCACTGAGATATCTATCTAAATAAGCCAAGGTTAAAAGGTGTGGGTCCCCCTCCCCGCCCCAAATATTCCCGTTTGGTCATTATTCTAACAATGACTCTCTAGTTGAATTAAACCTTTAGAATTCATCAGTTTCGTTCTTTTTGCTTTCATGTTGACAGACAATATTCTCAGTGCATGTGCTATACAACATTTTTAAGGAAGCTCCAGAAGAAAGTAAATATTTTAAAACCTATCCAGAATCTCAAAAAAGAAAAAAAACAACCCCAACACTGTAAAGATTTGTTGTATGAAAGCTAAAATAATGTAGCTTAAAAGCAGTTAATAATATTTCCCTGGAAAGTACAAACCAAGCCGCTGGAGTCAAAGTTTCAACAGAAAGAATACATGCAATCTTAGAAGTTGCTGATATCCTAGATCTTAAGTCCATGTACTAGTTAAGAAAAGGCAACAAAACTCAAATTCATTTCAGCAAACTAGCACGGAATGAAACTTGAAAGCCAGTTCAGCTTTTCATTTCAAACAATTATAATTGTTAGGAGTTTCTTGCCTATCAAAATTAATGGCTTAGCATTTTCAAATCAACAGTAAACTTTCTGCACTTTCTGATGTCTTAAACATGCTGTTATTGTATAGATCAGTTTTTAAAACTATGAAATGGTATAAACCTATATTGCTCCTCCTGGCTCTTATGATTTGCATAATACATTAGTAGCACAGGGAATTGATAGTCTTGCACAGTTACAAGTTGACAGATGCATTGACTATGTTAAAATAAACTTTGAAGAGCAGGTCACATAAAGCAACAATCACTACTGCAATCACACACGTAAGTCATTTTCCGCACTCACGCCCACAACACACAACTTACTCCTAACACTCTCTCAGAACACAAAGTTAGCTACAAGTTTTACTAAATTAGAACCACAATAGTAGCTAACTGCAGGAGCCACTGGATTTATTTTGAGTGATATACTAACCTTCTGCATATAAAATATTGAATGTTGACTCTGAGATTGTTTCGGTCAAATCTCTGCAGCTTGTGACAAAATTCACTGTTCATAATTTCTCCAGGGACATTAATGATACAACCTTAAGTATGCCTCCAAGTATGTACCATTAGAGTTAAGTGTGCTTCAGACCAGACTGTAGTGTCATTTGTTTAATTATCTATTTTACAACACCGAACCCTGAAAAAGGTGTAACACTAAGCCCTGAAAACGAGGAGGAAAAGAAAATTGTGTTTCTTTTTCCAGGCCTGCAAAAAATCTCTGCTAGCAAGAAGGTAACAAACAATAGTTTCAACTGTGTTAATTATATGAGTTAAGAGGAGAGAACTTAGAATAGAAAACACAGTTTCTGAAAGTCTCTAAAGCACAGCCCTAGTATTCCTACTCCAATGTTATGAGATCTTAAAAGACAGGACAAGCCATACATGCTTTCCTCTCACATTCAGAAAGGCACTGATAGATTACAGTGTTAAGTATTTATCTCCCAAATCTTAAAAGCCTAAATGTGCCGAAAGTTAAAATCTCTGAATAGCTGTAGACACTGCAATGCTAGTAAGATAGTAATACTGATAGGGCTACAGTTAAAAATAAAAATAACTGCAGCTAGGATGCAAAATAGCAGTGATACTACCAAGACAAATCACATGCACATCCATTCTTGATTCGACAACACAATCTACTCTAGATCCAAATAGCCAAGGAGCTAACATTTTGGAGGGAGGGGGAAAAGCCTTCAATGGGACTGGAATCCCACCTATTGAAAATAAAATATCAAGAAGAGAAAGATAAATACATTTCTGAATCCATTAACTGAAGGGGGAACTCAATTCAATATTGAGTTTCAGGCCTTCTAGAAGAGTTTCCCATCTCATGCTGTTCCTAGATCATCTATTTAAACTCTGTAATTTTACAGGTGAGTTCGAGAGAAAAGCTCCTCTTCACAAGGATCTGTCCATCCATTTCCACCTTCTGATGCTGTGCCTTCAGAGCCGGAGCTATCACTGGAGTATAGCTTCTTCCTAAAACCATTTGATTTTGTTTCAGAACTAGGATCCGCACATCTTGCTTCATGAAGAGAAGCGACCTAAGGATTTTCATGTGAAAACGTATGTCAGTGTTTTGCAACAGAAAAAGTTATTATAGTTCAGAAATAATACAAAAAATAGAAATGAACATATGAACACGGTGTTTTAATGTTATTTTGTTCTAGAAAAAAGCCTGCATACTGATCAATCATTCAAACAAACTAGCAGGTTTCCATGCAAGTATCCTAATTTATAAACAAAGGTTTGATTTCAATTGTTATTCCCCAAATAAGAGCCCTGTTGAATCAGTGTTCAACAGAAATTCAACTCTGGCACAATTCCTACTAACTTAATGAGTCTGAATTAGGTCTAGCAAATGGAATTGGGCCCAAAGAGAACTCTGCTGGCACTGAAGAGGGGACAGGGCAGCATTTGGCCGAAACCCTTGCACAAATCACTACACCCTCACACTCCTGATCCAGAGGGATTCAGGACCTTGCTAAAACCTCTGGGAAAGAGACATCAATGAAAGGGGCATCAGGGAAAGGCAGTTCCTGTCCCTCCTTCTACCGAAAGACTTTCCTTCTCTCCCCAAAGAGTTCTTGGGATTTCAAATTATTTAGCAGGAAGCAATGGGATGTAAAGAATTATAGTCAAAAACAGAAATTCATAAAACTTCCCTTGGCAGCTAGAGGAAAAAATAATGGCAGGTTTACAAATGAAATTGATTACTAATGAAAAGAAAGAATTATATATTCCAGATGTTACCTTACTCCAAGTAATAATGGATAAGATGTAATGGATGTTAGGAAGAGGTGCTAGAACTTACCATATTAAAATCTAAAAGATGTTGTTCAGTATGTGGTACTTCTTTTGTATCTGTGAATTCTTTGATTCCATTCTCCCTCTTGACATTTGCATGGGATTCTATAAAGGTTTTGTTTCAGAAAATTGGGGGACAAGACAAAAATACCATTAGATCAGTTTTAAAAATTCAAACAAATATTAAACAGCAGAAATCATTTAATGGGTGCTAAATAAAAATCCTTAGGTTAGGATACTTCATGTCAAAAACAAGCAGAAGTTTAAAAAAACTAATACATGAAATAAGTCTCTAGTCATTTCTATTACTCACCAATGACTAAAAAGAACTAGTATGAGACCTGTTCCATTGAAAAAAGTCTACCCCCACACAAAGGAGGATGAAAAAAGGCTTGCAGAAGTCAATACTGTGTGTGGTTGATCAATCAATTGGAAAAAGAATGTTAGAGATTGTGGATTCACTTCCCACCTCGAATCACAGATATATGGTTAAAGGTAAAGGCTTTCTCTTGACATTAAGTCTAGTTGAGTAAGACTCGGGGGTGGTGGTGCTCATCTCCATTTCTAAGCCGAAGAGCCAGCGATGTCATAGACATCTCCTGACTGCACAGAACATTGTTACCTTTCCGCCAGAGTGGTACCTATTTATCTACTCACATTTGCGTGTTTCCGAACTGCTAAGTTGGCAGAAGCTGGGGCTAACAACAGGAGCTCATCCCGCTCCGTGGATTTGGACCACTGACCTTTTGGTCAGCAAGATCCACAGCTCAGCCGTTTAAGCAGCTGTGTCACTGTGGCCCCATGAGATATGGTTGCTAACACATAAAGCCAGCCCCTTGTTTCTAACAATAACTATATTTTCACTGTAACTGGTTGGCATAAACCTAGAGTGTGATTCAGATAAATTCAATGAATTTCATTCCATGCTTAGTTATTACACCTTGCAGCATTTCAGCTCCCATTTGCTTTGGTTTGGAGAATTATACTGGTTTGTGAACCCAATTTATCCCATGGAAACTTCCAAATTACTTCAACCCCCATCACAAGCTATTTATACCACCACCGTCTGATTAATTCTAATATACTGAGTATGGAAGCGATAAACTCATAAGATATCTTCTTTTAGCTGAAGTCTGAACACTATCCACATCAGCCCCCACCAAAGGAAGAGGGGAGACTACTAAAACCACACTAGCCAAAAGGCTCAGTGGATATGATGTCAAGGGGATTGAGCCATGCTTCTGAAGTCACATTGTCTTCTGGTGGTTTGCAGGGATGTGCATCAGGAAAATACTTATTTTTTCACACTGGCAGCAAGCGAGGAAGAAAAGGAAATAATATTGAACTATTAGGAACCTTTCCTTACTCCTGCTAGTGTTATAACTGAAAGGCCATGAAGAGCAGATAATCCACCCTTGAAAGGCCATATAGATTTGTGTGGGAATCAGATTTAGGGTTGAAAATAGAATGGAACTCAATCTGGAAAACTCAAGCATATAAATCAATCTCAGCACAACTGGGAGAAAATACTCTGAAAATTTTACATAGATAGCACCACTCAAACTAGTACATACAATTAATAATTAATGCGACCCGACCACTATCTTCAGCTAAAGGAGTATGGATTTTTTAAATTAAGAACTATTATTGCCATATTTTATTGATTGTATTGATCTTGTTATTCTTATAGATTTGATTTTAAATGTGTTACTGGTTTTCATGTTGTCATATTGTATTTTATATGTTGTACGGCACCACTGTGTGCTTGTAAGCCACCCTGAGTCCCTTTGGGAGATGGTGGCAGGGTATAAATAAATGATGATGATAATGATGATGATTATCATTTTCATTATAGAATCCTTAAGCTATATTGGAGAAGGTGCGGTGAGATAAGGGACTGGAGCCAGATTTGGCTAAAAAGGACCAACGTTCTGGGATGAAGTTCTATCATGGATTGGCCAAATAATGGGAGAAGCAGTGCATTTCAGAGGAGCTCTGTTTGTGATTTCTGTGTTCAAAAGGATGAATAAATATCTGGTAAATAAAAATCTTATACTGCTCATGTTATGTGCTGCAAGACTCAAAATAATGAAAACCTGGAAAAAGCTACGAGATTGGACAATGAAGAATTGGTTAAACAGGATACGGGTGATAGTTCTATCGGAAAAGTTAACCTATAAATTAAGGTTACCAAAAGGAGAACTGTAAGACCTATTTGATAGCACTTGGAAACAATTTATTAGCTTTGTGTGAAAAAGCAATGGTGAATTCAAACCATTAATTGATCAACCACCAAGAAAGATGGTAGTTGATCAATTAATGGACACATTACAATAATTATATGTAACGAATAAAATTGGAATAACATAAAAGTAACACCATTGACAATGCTGTATTTTTACAATGCTATGTAAGTAATGTGATCGTTGGAGGTATAAATCTGGGAATGGAAGATATAATAACACTATTGCATTATATTTTTAATGTTTTGGAATTTTAAAATATTTAATAATGGTATAAAATATTTTTAAAAGAAAAGCCACACAGATTATCAACCCTTGTTGTGGTAGAGAATCCCCCCATGACCTGCCCTATGAAGATGTTTAGATCAGTATTCCTTATCTGCTAACCACTGTAAGAAAAGTGAAACAGGCACCACTTTTATTAAGCAGTATCAGTTGTAGAATGGGTTCTGGCAACACCACAGTGCAGGAATTGCCACATTGTTTATTCTTGAGGAGTTGCATGGCAGGCGTAAGCATAACAAGCCTGCTTTCTCCAACCCTATGTGGAGTAACTTTCAAAAACACATAAACCCTGCAGCAGTGGTTCTCAACCTGTGGGTCCACAAGTGTTTTGGCCTACAACTCTCAGAAATCCCAGCCAGTTTACCAACTGTTAGGATTTCTGGGAGCTGACGGCCAAAACATCTAGGGACTCACAGGTTGAGAACCACTGCCCTACAGGAGCAAAATTGTGGCAGCTGATATACAAACAGTTGGCTTCTCACTGGTGGCTGATGAATCTGTAGACCTATCTTGTGATCTGCATACTATGGCATGTGGGGAACAGTCTGGCTTCTGTGCATGCTTGATGATAGCTGGGTTACCTGTAAAGAAAGGAAAGAAAATAGGGAAATGATGACCAAAGCCTACTGTAAATGCAGATACTAGATGTGAACAAAATAAAAAGCACTGATGAGGAAGGATGCCTTACTGATAGATAATGCATTTCACATAACTCAGCCAGCCTCCCTGCTCTCCCAAATAAGGATGAACTCACCTGTTAGCCTTCCACTACACATCTGGAGAGATAGGTGCAGCTCCAGATGTAATACTCACTCATCAAATGTTGTGAACTGCATGGCATTTCTCTCTCCTCTTTCTGTTCCGCTGTAGTATCTCCTGGTTCTGATTCTGTAAGATTAAAAAAATATAACAGAGGTTTGCTATGCTAACAACAGATGGAGAGCACTGCTTGCTTTTCAATAAAGGCATTTGTAAGGTTTGCATTAGTTTTCCCAACGTGTGGTATGAGCACACTGAGCCTTGCGCCCAATCCTTGCAAAAAAGAAGCCTCCCTAGTGTTACAGAATCTACTCAGACAGTATAGTTTGGGGTTTTTCCGGAAGTGCAGTAGTAAAATCCTCTAGCTATGGGTGTTTCTCATTTGAACATCTTGAGTGTTCAAGACTCATCATCTGTATAGATCCCCCACCCCACCCCCAGTAACTCTCTTGCTTCCCAACCCCACCTCAAATTACCTATGCAGTAAGCCTTGTCTTTCAATCCCCAGTTGCGGCAGTGGCGTTGAGGCTCCTGGTGCATGTGTGTGTCTGGAATCCAGAAGCAGAGTACCTGTAAGGGGTCTGAGAGCACAACGGTTATCTATCTATCCTTGCTGAAGTTATGGCTTGCACTGGCTGTCTGTTGTTGCTATAAAGTCCCTTTTTAATAGGCTTGCCAAATACCCTGTTTTACAGACACAGAATAGCAGTACATTTTAATTAAGCAAAGGAATCAATTTTCGCCCAATCTCTCCATTCTTCTCATTATCCTAATAGTGTTGTGGTACTTAAAATAGTGCAATACACATAATAAAAGTGTAAAAATCTGTATGTGCATGGTATGTCCACTTACACAGACAAGCTCCCACCTCCACAAACAGCTACAGATCACACTACGTAGGAGACACCAATGGCTCTCCCTCCAATGACATTGCAGGTTATAGTGAGCACCCCATCCCAGTGTTCCTTTCTCTCTCAATTTGTATGGAATTTGCATGAGCCTGCCCACTGCTTCTCCCTTAACCCTTTCCTACTCTTTTCTATGGCGCACAGCAAACAAGAGGAATTGACCAGCAACTGAACATACTGGAGGAAGTCAGGGGACTGACTCAAAATAATGGAAGTTGTAGTTCACCCTGAATCACGTCACAACACTGTGACTCCCACCAATAATGGAACTGGAACACATGTGGCACACAGAACCCCCATGACCAGGTTTGAGGGGAACTGACCTCAAATTATAGGAATTGTAGTTCACCTACATCCAGACAGCACTGTGAACCCAACTCAAAATGGCCAACTGTGCATACAGGCGGGATTTGGAGGAGATTGACCTTGGCATATGGGAGTTATAGATCACACTTTTCCAGAGAGCACTGAACCCAGCCAATGTCGGATCTGCACCAAACCAGGGACACAGACCCAACATGGTCAACTGTCCATACAAGCCAAGTTTGGGGGTGATTGGTCCATGATTTTGGAAATTGCAGTTCACCCACATCTTTAAGCATTTTCTAATGGGAGCATTCATTAAAAAAAACTCCCAGAAAAGACTGGCTTTTTTTAAGAAATAGAGCTACAAATTACCAAACTGGTATTACCTAACATCCCCCAAAAAAAAACAATCCCTTCTTCAAATAACCCAGGCATTGCTGGGTCCCCAAACTTAGTATTATATAACTATGTGAAGGTACAGGAGAATTTTGTGGCAATTATACCCAAACAAAATCCTGCACTTCACCATAGAATTGTTGCATTTTAATGCCTCTTTTTTGCACAAAAGGGAGACGGTGACCATCATGTGAAGAAAAAATGTGCCTTAGCTTCCCTGGTTTCTTTTTTAAAAAACGGTCTTATTTCTGAGTTGGGAGGAAGGAAGAGGGAGAACCCCAGCTGGCTATGTTTTGTTTTTTTTAAAACGGTCTTACTCCCAAGAAGGGAGGAGGAAAAGCCCCAGCCATCTCCAGTTTATTTGGTTTTCAAAAACTATCTTACCTCTGAGGCAGGAGGAGGATTAATGTAACCATTAAGCAAGGAAAGAGACTCCCACCAATCACTAACAATCTTCTCTTTTAGTATTCTGATCCATGGGATCAAACTAAGTATTTCCCTACATTTCCTGAAATCAGCTTCCTTAAAGTCTAAAACGCATTATCTAACTACTCTCAGTTTCCCCTTTCCTCTGTTTCAAAAATTCCAGAAAAACATGGTGACTCCCAACTAAGGATTCCACTCAATTGACCAGGTCATCAGAGTTGGTTAGGATAAGATCCAAAATAGCTGATCCCCTTGTTGCCTCTTCCACGTTCTGGACAAGTGAGGTATTTCTTGGACTTTTGTATTCTTGGCAGATTTTGTTTTTCAAGAAATATAAGACTACTTGAATTTCCCATTACTACTCTTTTTCTGCATGTTTTGGTTATTTGTTCAAGGATGGTTTCATCCAGGTCTTCAGTCTTTTTCAGTTCTTGCTCCCTTAATTCTTACCCAGATGCTTTCAACCTGGTTACCAAGGTTTGAGTCCTGCATCTTTTCACAGGTGTAAACATCCTGGACATATAATACAACTCCACCCTTTTCCTGTTTAGTCTACTTCTCTGAAACAAATTATACCCCTTCATTACTACATTCCAATTATAGGACTCATCCCATCAGGTTTCAGTTATGCCTATGACATTGTAACCAATTTGTTGTGCTAAGAGTTCCAGTTCATCTTGTTTATTTCCAGTATTCTGCACACTAGTGTAGAGACATCTAAGTCTATGGGACATTCCCCCCAGCTGTTTATTTAAGAAATTATAATTCAAATAAAAATTCTATGTGTTCCTCAGCTAACTACAGCCTGAGAAAAATTTCATTAGACAACATCTACACTGATAAAAGCAAGTAGTAGTAGTAGAGCTCGGTAGTAAGAATGAATACTTACCCAAACCTGAGTCCCTATCTGAAAACTCAAGTACAACTCAGGATACCATTATCTCAGTCTTGCTTCTCAATAGCACTACTTTGGTTCCCTTTCAGTGAACATTCATTACCTCAGCTTATTATTAGAGTGGGGACGTGATTAAACCATATATGGATGACCATGGATCAAGTAATAACATACAATCCTATATATGTAAACATTAGGTATACATGTATCATTATGTCAAACACTGAAATTTTAACCGCATTACTACACTGATCAGAAAGAACAAGAAGTAGATGAATGGAAATGTTTCCCAGAAATAGCTACAATTCACAAGGCACAACTTCATATGAATTCATCTTGTATTTCAACAGTTATACCATGTTCTATTGTAAAGAAATTAAAAGTACCACTACCTTCATTCTCAGATGTAGGAAAGAGTGGTGTATAAAGAGCTTTCTCCCACCAGCACTGCTTTGCTTGATTGTAGCTTGTTTTCTCAAGATCATTATTCAATACGGGGAACTGTTTCGAGAATAACTGTATTTTAGTTTAAGAGAAACTACTACAGTACAATATATGCTTATGATTACAGAGTGGTCTGTATCCAAATTCACTTTGGATGCAAAGAAAAAGTTACTAAGCTATTCCACAGAGTGGTGTATATACCAGCTAGTCCAATTAAAATATGTACAGGAAAATCTTAAGCATGTCTACTCAGAAATAAGGCTTATTCTTGCGTAAAACGTGCAGCACAAAATTGCAGATATAGAGTATTTTTTAAAAATCAGCATATGAAACAATACTATACCTGATTTCTCCTACCAGAGAAGAAAATAATGTTTGCAATCATATATTATTTTGTTTTTGTATATGACCATTCTGTTTTTCTCCCTTTATCTGGAAAGTGGAACCTAATGGTTATTTTACTGTACTGTATTTCACTGGACTGTAACTCAATCAAAGTTTGAGAGATATGTTCAAGTTTCAAAAAGGTTATCACTTCCCCATATAACTGAACAATTTGAGAGGGGCATGTAATACTGAATACCTGTCCAGTTTGATCACTGCCTATGTTGCTTGAGTAAATAAAGCTGAGCATGATCACAACATTTATTAAAGAAAATTAATATTAATATTAATTAATATTAAAGAAAAATGACATCCTGGGAATGAGAAAAATAGGACTCAAGTGAAACCGGAAGAATAAAAGCAGAGGAAGAGAAAGTTGAGAAGGAAAAACAAGGAAGTTAATGTGGACTTTATTTTCTCTGCCCTATCTGGACCTAGATACAAGGCTTATCTATGTTTACACATTCGTAGAGCCACTTTTACATTCATATTTTGTATTTTTAGGTTCTACACTGAAACACTACTTATTGTTATTGTACTTTATGAGGCCTGATAATTTACAGTCTATTTTGTACGTGCTTTTTAACCGTGTTTTATCTGTTATTTTATTGTGCTGTGTTTTTATGATTGTATATTTCATTGAATATTTGCCTTTGTATTTGGAAGCCGCCCTGAGTCCCTTTGGGGAGAGACAGCGGGTTAGAAATAAATAAATCATCATCATCATCATCATCAATAAAACAAAAGGAAATACTGCTGCCTGAAAATACTATTACAACTTAAGTGGAAATAGGAAGAAATAATAGCATGCTTCAAGTACTGTATTTTCAAAAAGGAAATTTTCTGCAACAGCTGAACCTGTGGATATTCAAACTAGTTCCAGGAAATAAATGCAAACAGATTCTATGAGCTAATGGTGATGACAATCACAATTAAGGATTCTCCAATCTTAGGAAAGATGTCAAATGAGGTAAGGGTGGGGTGTCATTGTTTCTATTGTCAAATCAGTTTTATAATCACAAAACTACATAATTTATTGCCTCCATATATTAGAGCAATGTCGGAGTTGCAACCTTTTGTAAAGGTGCTCAAGACTTGGCTGTTTGGTTGTGCATTTAAGTAATCGGATCAAATTTTGCCATAGTTACTGCTGAATGTTTTTATGTTGAATGTTTTTATGTTGAATGTTTTATATTGTGTATAAGCTATTTTAAATTGTAAGTCGCTCGGAGCACTTTGGTGGAGAGCGACTAATTAAGAAATAAAGTGATGATGATGATGATGGGGGCCAGAACATACAACAGAAAGCTTACAAGCACAGAAAATATTTTGATTTTATTCCTGCTCAGATCTGTTTTTGCTTTGTAATCTGAAACGAGTGACATCACTCAAGATACCATGAAATGTGTATACATTTGGAAGGCTCAATACACTTCTACTTTGGAAGCCCTGGGAAATTTAGTCTGTATGGGCAGACATCACTGGGTTTAAATGTGTATCTCCTTTTACACAAAAGCAATTAAATATGACAATCAACATCCAAACCTGTAATTTTGTTTCAAGCATGAAAATTCTGATATTCAATAGTAACAACTCGATTCAAGGCTGTTTACTTAATTCTTCACAAAGGCAGCCCCTGGGTTACAAACATCCGATTTCTTACTCGGGACATTTACACATCTTAACATTAATTTGACATCTGCCCAATATGCCTTTTGTAATAACATAGAGCTGATTAAATTGTGTAAACCATGTTGTATGATTGCATATAAATAAAAGCTTCACTGTGCCTCTCTTAGGAACATACCTCTTTTAGATGTGCTGAAGAAACAGGATTCTCTTCATATGAATGACCTTTACAGCTGCAAGACTTGTCTTCCTCTTCTCTTGATTCCACAACACTGCAACTGGCTTCAGAATTTTCACCTGCCGTTACATCTTGCAGGTCTTTCATACTGCACTGTGAACAAGAATTCTCATTTTCTAGCAACAGTATTCCAGATGATTCTTCCTGGGAATCCAGAGATGTCTGTGCACTCTTTTCCATTCCACATTTTTTTAGTCTAGGAAGAAATTTCCCAGATTCTAGTTCAGATTTGCCATAGTAATGCCCATCTTTTTCTGCATCTTCTTCCAGTGGTTTGAGATCTGCTTGTGGATCATCAAACACTTCAGCTTGAGAAGGAGCAGGAATACTCCCCTCATCTTTCTCTGATTCAAAGTCAGACTCACTTCCACCACACGGAGAAAGTTCAGATGCAGAAATGGGGCGAAAGTGAGTCCTAGGAGAAATCCGTATAGCTCTGTATTGTGTCCTCCCAGCACCGCATATTCTTGGACGAAAAACTTCTCTATCAGAATCAGAGCAAAGGATAGATTTGGGTTTAAAGCAAGGACTGAAGGATGTAATTCCTTCTGGTTCAAATGTACATTCTACATGAAGAACTTGTGAAAATGGATTATTCAAGTCAAAGGAAGAGAATGAATATTCGAGAGCAGACTCTTCACCTTGAAAATTACCACAAGCTTCTAACAAGTCTTCATGGAAGATAAAAGAAAAGCCCCGATTCAATCCATGATCACCGCACTTCAACTGCTCACTTTGCTCAAATGACACAAAGGGTCTCCATAATTGTCTGTGACCAGGGGCAAAGCTGTTTCCTGGTGTCATGAAGACATCTGTACCTGCAATTGTAACTACATCAGAAGCTGCACACTGTAGTAAGTTTCCTTTAGGGTGACTGGGTGGCACCACTGCCCATTCTCCATCACTGTTAAATGTTTTGAGCTCCCCATACACACCACCAAGAATAAAAGAATTTTCTTTATCTTGGTTAATATTCCATGGTTTGGAAGGTGTAGTATAATCTCCGCAATCCACTTTTGATAAATGGTTTGATGCAAACGCTCTTTTCTCCAAATTTTCTCTCTGACCTTCCCAAAGATGATATTCTGATCTCTGCACTGCTTTTTTAGGATCCTGAAGAATTTCTAACTTTGCATCGTTTAAGCAGCAGCAGTAATGATTTACGTCAGCAGAATATACCTCCTCTTCTATACCATCTATTTCTACAACTGCTGCAGAATTCCCATCCGTCACATTTGTCCAGATGTCTTTAATAACCCCTGAGCCATAGTCATCTTCGTGTGGACTGCTGTCACTACACACCTGCGTTGTTTCATAGTCTTTATCGTCAGCTTTGTGTTCCAGCTGAATACCACAGACAGATTCTAGTTTGGATTTTTTTGTAAAAATTAAGGTAGGAATTTCTCCTAAGGAACTAATCTGTTCCTGGCAGGTTTCCTCCTGCAAAAAATCTATTTCTTCATCTATATAACTTGAAGATACTCTGGGAACTACATAATTAATATCATCTGAGTTAAACTGAGGGGATTCTTCAAATGGAATATTTAAAGTCTCATTGTCTGAACGTGTTTCTTCAGAATATGACCATGGACTACAAGTTCTTGTTGACAGATTAGAACAGTGTTCATTTTCATCAAAGGCACTATTTTTGGTCCATATTAACAATCTAGACTGCGTTTTCCCAAACATACCAACATTGCTACTAGAATCTGTATTTTCATTTCCTAAGCTGAGTTTTTCAAAAGGAAATGGTAAGACAGAATTACTGCATTGCACTTCAAACACTGAAAAAGAATTTAAACCAGACCCTTCATTAGTATCTGAAAACAGCTCTTGATTGCCTGCAAGCATGTGTGAATTAAGCATTGTGCTGTCTAAGGTGGGGGAAAGCCTAATTGGAGAATCTCCCCCAAAGCTTTCCCCATCTGCATCACCAGAGCTAGAAGATGAACAGCACTCCCAAAATTGAGCTAAGTTACTAAGATCTTGCAAGAACCACCCTTCAGCACCAGAGGTGGCTGAATCTGCCCATATTGCACTTTCCCCTTGCAACTCCATTCCATCAAACACTATGCAACATTCTGCCTCAAAGTCTGTCCCCTCTTTACTTTTCTGCCGAATCATATTCAAAATCCGACTCTCTCCTTGCATCTTGCCTGAGGCACCAGAATCCAACATGGATTGGTCAATATCCACTTCATAGAAGTGCGTTAGTTCTGAAAGATGAACACCATCTGAGTGTGTGTCGTCCTCTGGTTGAGAACACATTGAGGTCCTAGTGAGGCCAATATCCTCATTTAGAACTGCAGGCATTTCCACAAAACGGCCGTCAATGAAAGTACCTGCTGCGAGGTATGTTTTATTAATATTATTGTTGCTAATGCAAAGACCTTGCACAGATTCACCTAATTCCTCTACAGCCTCTGATGTCATATCACATGCATCTTGTCTGTTGCGGTATGTTGTCTCAAGCTTACTTTTTCTGCTCAGGGGAACAAAGTACTCTGCAATTGGCTCAGTATACCATAAAGGCTCTTCCTTATATTCTTTTTCATTTCTGCAATCATAATATAGCTCTTTTCTCTCATAGCTGCCTGCTTCTTTTCTTCTGATTTCTTTAAATGGTCGCTTGCCTCTTTTACACAATTGCTTGATGGATCCATTGCTGCTGCTGCTACTGCCATAATTTTTTCTTTCAGCTTTTTCACCGGCTTTTGCTAAATGCCTGCTTTGTCCGCTTCGTCCTTTTTTGCTCCGGACCTCTCTTGTTTTATGCCTTACTTTAACATATTTTGTAGCTGACTTTAATTCACTCTGATTACCACTAGAATTGGAACCTTCTTCACTTGAGCCAGAAGACCAAGATCGAGGACGAATCTTTCCCTCAGATTTGTGTCGGACTTGCTTTTTGTAGAAAGCAGGTTTCTCTTCAATACTGCTATTCCCAAACTTGTTCTCTTTTTCATCTTTATCTTTTTGCTGGGTGGCTCTCTCGTGTAAAGTGGCAGGAACTCTGTTACTATTTCGTTCTTTGGATACTTCAGTTTCACTAATGCAGTCCTTTGGAGATGATGTATCTGTGCTAGTTGCTGGGACAGTAGAAGATGAGGAGGAACTGGAGTAAGAACAGATTTTGGATTTATTCCAAACTGTCATAATTTCTTGCAGGCAAACTGGTTTCTGGGAGAGAGGTGGAAATGCTTCATAATACCTGAGAAAAGGAGAAAATCGACATTAAGGTATATGGACATTAAAAGATGGGCGACATTTAACTATACTTGATTTGAGTACTACTCAACTGCACACAGAGGAGCATGTCTACTTTAATCTTCACATTTTTGCTACGGATATCTATGCATGCCAATAGACATGTATTTGGAAAATTCACTACTACTACTACTACTACTACTACTACAACTACAACTACTAATAATAATACATTTTATTTTTTACTTGTTAAATTGTAACTTAACTAAAATTAAATGAAAAATGCAACCTATTATATCAGACATGAAACAAAACATCAAACATCTTGCTCAGCTTATTTTTGCAAAAACAGAATAATTTTTGTACAGCAATGCAGAGCAAAAATCTTTCAACAACTAAAAATACACATTTTATTTGGAAGGAAACTCTGCTATGGTGTTCAATGGGGCTTGCTTCCTAATTACAGATGAGGAGGGCAGCAGCACTAAGTTATGAAACCCTTATTAACAAATAACTGATAGAACATAATCCTACACTGCACCAAAGCATTTAAAGTTGTGAAGGCATTGGATTTGCCAAGAATACAGGTATTTCCATTGCATGTATTCCCTATATTTTCTATGACTGCAGAACTTTCTTACTGCATAGGAATTGATGTAGAGCTTTAAAAAACACTGAGCTTAACTGATTAATTTTTGTTTCACAGAGGGGAAATCTGGATCATTTCTTAAAGCTCTAATGTAGTTCAATAATGGGACACTACAGTCTCTAGCCTCTGGTACAAAGATGATGATCAGGTGTGATAGTGGAGGTAATTGAAACTGAGAAGACTCCACCATCGATAGATCTAAATTTCTGAACCTGCTGGGCTCTGATATATTTCACTGGATTCCCTGACAAATATCCAGCCTTCTTTACTATTTCCCAGAAAAAATGGCATAGAAGGGACAGTAGAAAGTTTGAGGAGCACTCTTATATAGATATTGTGAAAATAAGACTCTAGTGATATTTAGGCATCCTGGATGTATCATACAAACACAGAAATGCTCTAATTGGATCAGTCAGCCACAAGCCCTTTGTAAAATAGCATAAAGTCTATGCTAGTGGCCCAAGAAAACTATGAATGCTCCTGTATGTTCAGGGATGCCAATAGGCATAAAAAATAGCATATTCATATTCATCCGGGCTGTTCTGTAATTCATTTTAGGATACAGCTGGTTAAATACTTTAGATTTTCTTGAGTTTCTTTAAGGAAACAATCACTATACCTCATACAAAAACCTTCTGGTAGTATCACTGCATATATTGTTTCTGAGATCAACCTATGGTTCACCGGGTCACTAATCGTTCCTATCTAATACCCTCAGCTTAAACATCCATTTTGGTACAACACTCCCATTTTGATACTATAAGATAGTCTTATTTAATAACTAAAGGAGAATCTTGCTTATCCAACATAAACGGGCCAGCAGAACGTTGGATAAGCGAAAATGTTGGATAATAAGGAGGGATTAAGGAAAAGCCTATTAAACATACAATTACATTATGATTTTACGAATTAAGCACCAAAACATCAAGTTTTACAACAAATCGACAGAAAAAGCAGTTCAATACACGGTAACATTATGTAGTAATTCCTGTATTTATGAATTTAGCACCAAAACATCACAATGTATTGAAACAGCTGTGGATCCGGGTGGAAACAGACTGAGTTGGATAATACAGAACGTTGGATGAGCAAAGGTTGGATAAGTGAGACTCCACTGTACTACATTTTGGATACTGAAATTTAATGTTTGAAGACAAATATTAATACTGTATTTCACTAATAGGAAAGAAGGCTATGTTGCATTAACATCTTTTAAACTGTCAAGCTCAGTGTTGCAGCATGTTTCTCTTGAGTAAAAAACTAAAATTAAGACCAATGAACTTATTCATATGAGACAAGAATGACTTTATATGTTTATTTCAAGTAATAAATCAAAATAAGTATTGCATTTACATCTATATAAAATATAAGAATCATTTTTAAGCGATACATACATTTCCACTTGATCCTTTGCTGCAGGAGACAAATCTACTTCAGAAGGCAAAGAGCCCTCAAGCTTTTTGTGGATCTTCTCCCCAGCTGTAAAAACAAGTCAGCCCATGTGAAAATGCTCTTTGTTATTTTATACTTATTTAGAAACCGAAACGCAACAAATGCTAAATATTTATATTTAAAATGATGTAATTACACATCATTAATATAATGACAACTACTGGGTTTTAGTTATATTATTATTATTATTATTATTATTATTAATAATAATAATCTTCATTTATAACCCGCCCTATCTCTCCAAAGGGACTCATTAATTATTAAAATATTAATTTAGCATTACTAAATTATTATGGATAGAAATCACTGCCATCAACATTCTTTGTTTTCATAGCAATATTGAGATGCAAGGTGTATCAATATTTTGAAAAACATTGGAATGCAAGCTGCATGTTTTTTCAATATGTGTGAAAAAAACTAAATTTGTAGAACACTGAACAACAAGGGACTAACAGGAAAGTCATAATCTAAATTACTTCATTGTCAAGCAATTCTGGAGTTAAAATACTGAGCAAAATCCAGATTTCACACCAGCAAAGTCCCCAAAAAGTACATGTTACTAACTTGGATTAAAATAAATTTAACCTAGTTTGTGTATAAACCTTTATCAAATAATATTTGCCAGAATTTAGAAACTTTCACCAAACATCTGGCTATGGCTATACATTGTTCCTTGTAGTGTGCCAAAAATATCACTGGTGGCATGAAATATTACATATTATTACAAAATTTCACAGCTGCAGTCCTGAAATAATGGAAGCCTTATTCTCACAAACAGCCAATGTCACAGATCTCTCCAGGCTCAGGATAAGGACTCATGAGTGAAGATTTGGCATGTGAAATCAATTTCTCTGAATAGCACACTAGATGTCAAGAAGAAGGTTCTGATTCAATATGTAGATTTGGCACAACTTGGAAACCCTACTTTTAGATAAGAAGGCCCAGAATTCCCCAGCTAGCATTTGGAGCTAAAGCCCAAAATGTAACTTTTTAACTTCTGGGACTGGAATAAGCCGGTGCCAACATTCTATCACATGAACTCCAACTGGCAGTCTGAAATGCTCCAACCTTCACACAAGATCACTTCATCACATTTTAGAAGGAATGAATCTTATTCTAGTTTGCCATCAACTGAACTATCCTAAGTTGTCATCTGAATATGCCCCAAACAAGTATAACCCCTGAAACTATTTTTTCAAAGGACATTCTCACCTTGCTCACTCTGGAGATCTTTCAGCCTGCAACACAGCTCCTCCACTAGAGTTTCAATCCCAGAGCTCTAAAGAAGAACAAGATCAAATTATACCCTTTTACTGATTTCTAACATGTTTTAAGTATTTAAGGAGGTTCACATGCCTTCTCTCAAAAATCCTTATATAACAGTTGCCTAAGAAATACTGTATTTAATCACACTTTGGGGGGGGGGCATGTGACTATGGGACCTCCCCCAGCTGGCAACTGAAGGAGACCCCATAGGTTTCGCCCACTGGTGCACACAGGCAACCAAGGCCTACGAGGCCTTTCTTGGCTACCAGCAAGGGAGGCCCCATGGGCCTTGTCCACTGGCATGCTGGTGGGCAAACAACATCTAGAAGGCCTCCCTTGGCTAGTGGCAGTTGAGGGAGGACTCCTAGCTCTTCTTGGCAACTTCTGCCAACAAAAACTAGGAGACCTCCCTCGGCTGCCACCAGCCAATGGAAGCCTCCAAGTTCTCACGCCTTCATCCACCTGTACGCCTGCCCCTAGGAGCTACAGGGGCTACTCCAAAGGGTAGGCACACGGGTAGGGGTACATCTATTATTTGAGGAATGCAGGAATTGCCATTGTTGGCAAAACCAATAAAATGAAAATGTTTGAAAACACAACAGCATTACAATTTTTTTGTTTGATTATTCCTTGGAAGGGCATGTTCTGGATTCAAAAGATACTTAAGGACCCACACAAATGTCTGTTCAAAATGTGCTTCCATTCTATTCCAATTTAACCAAAAAACAACCACTGTCACCTCAACTCCCTTCACCTGAGGTTCCCCACTTGAATTTTGATAAACTGAAAATATTTTGGATTTCAAACTATAGATGGAGAGTACAATCAAGCACAGTGAAAAGAAACCAGCAATTTCTTTTAATTCAAACCTTTACATTTATCTTTATATTTTTCTCTACATTGATCTTTAAATAAGCCTATACTGGAATGTAAATATGTTACCCAAAACAATTGAATAAGACATTAAACTATAAAACTTAATTTATCCATGCTGCAGTTTCTTCCTACAATCTGTTTTATTCTGTCACTTGAACACATGGGTGTTCTCTGGTTTGGTTCTGTACCAGAAAAACAAGAGCTAAAACAAGCACTGGATTCTTTCACTCACTTAGCAGAGAAACAAAGAGGAAGTGCCCACCTTTGGATGACATTTATGCTTGTTCATTATTGTTTCAAATTCAACAAGATGGAGAAGAAAAGGATTTTCCTGCAAGTCAATATACTGCTACACAATAACAGTTTGGTAGTGACCATAAGTTTATTTTACATAAGAATAAGTGTATATAAATTGCATATATCTCAAATCTTCAAAAGTGTTGTAAAAACACAAATTATCACAAGGACCAAATTAGTTTGGGTAGCCCCTCGGGTAATTAGATAATGAATGATATATGAAAAAGATGAAAATGCATATATATTCCTATTGCAGTATATTATTTAACAAGTGATAGTGTCGTATTAGCTAGATCTATTGCACACTGCAGATTTTAAATATTAATGAAATATTGTATTAAAATTTCAAGTAATTTTCTATTTTTTCTGAACAGACCTGAAAATTGATAGTTAACTTAGTTAAAGCAGATCAATGTGCAAACACAGCTTGACACTACACAGGTGTAAACACAACACCAGTGAATTTAATTTTCCTAGCACTTGGGAAATAAATGCATTTCTCTTTCATCTTCTACATATGGAAGAATACTTAAAATATGTATTCCTTAATGACTCAATCCCACTTTCCAGAAGGAAAATAAACAAAGTAGAAGGGAGGAAAGTACATTTCCCTGTTGTTTATTCTGTAGAATCATAAAAATTCATCATTTGATAACCAAACATATTGAGTTCATGTGGCTGAAAACTAATTCAGTGCGTTATCTTTATGAAATACAGCATGGCATCTCATGTATTTTAGTGCCTGTGTTGATTAGCCAGTTCCTATACACAACAGCTAGGTGTAGTTTTTGATCAAGAGCAATTATAAACTATATTCTATTATATCTACAATGTGTGCTCAAAATCAAGTTAACAAGCCACGAATCACCTAATTGCCATATATACTCATGTATAAGTTGAAATACTTTTGACAAAAAGTCAACCCAAAAAGCTTGGGTGTACTTATCCATGGTCAATGTAAGTACTCTCCACTGTGGCACCACTTCTGGCCTTTTTAAAGGCATGGCTACAGTAGCATCATTAAGGGGCTGCAAAAGGGGTGTCACCAAAATAACTATCACTGTTACAACCCCCAGAATCACCAAACTCTGTGTAGAATGTATGGTGTCATCCCATGGGCCTCCTTCTGTACCACAAACCCCATGCTGCACCTTCCCTTCTGGGTTGCTAAGACTGTGAAGGGGAGTGGATTACTCATGAGTAGACCTGGTAAAGGGAAGAAGACTGATCTACCACTTTTCTTCTCACAGGAAAACTACTCGTTTTAAGCGCCTCAGAAGGGAAGTGGCTATGCTGACATTCGCATAGCAAAAAGGTCCATGGGGGTGACACCAATCCTCATGACGCCACTGACTGAGAAAATGAAGGCAGCGGTTCATTGGTACTTTCCTCAGAAAAAAGTAGTCAGAGTTGGTGCTTCTTTTAGGCTCTCCCAGGAATTACTAAACTCTCGCCTTTAGCAACTCTACTCAGAGAAGAGGATGGTTCATTTTTTTTTAAAAAAAGAGTCAATATTATAACTTAACTTTTATCAAAAAAGGAACAATCCCTTCTCTAGGTAGAATGGTGAAAGGCCTTTTGAATGCTTGATCAAGAAATTTGTGTCATTGTTCATGATGTTTTTCTTTTCTTTTCCACAGAATTATCCTCAACCTATCCACATGTCATATGACTTTTTTTTACCCCAACCCTGCCCTTGAAGTTGACTTATATATGATAATCTTCTATCATCCTTCTTTACAGCCATTTCAGCAATAAGGAAGATTGTATGCCCACAGTTCCACTTGTGCTCCTTTCTGCTCGTGCTTTACAGAAGATCACACATGCTTTAGGGAGGACTGCTAATGCAAGTTAAGTGAATCAGGCTTTCTAATATTTATACATACTGTTGTAGAAACTAATATAAAAATATGATTTACGAAAAATCCAAATAGGTTTTATCCAATCTAGTATCACAGTTTAAAAATTAAATATAATTAAATGATGCTAATACTTACTTCATCAGAAGCAGAACGAAGACACTGAACAGCAGCCTGTTTTTTCATTTCTTCTAGTGTTAGATCAGAGCATTTCTTCTTACTTTTCCCCCATTTCTTGTAAGCTCCTTTTTCCCAGCCCAGGAAGATGTCATTCTCCTACAAGAAGAAGAGTAAAATTAACTGCAATATTTTCCTCATATATTGCTCACAGGAGGCTCAGAATTTTTTAATGGAACATTTATATACTATATATGATACAGGGTCACATAAAAGCAACACTGCCATCTGTCATCTCACAAAGCTATATCTTCTTGACTATTCGTTTTAATATAGACATTTTATATTAAATCCTTTAAAAAAAAATTTCCGGGACAGGACAGCTTTATGGTAAACACCAAAAATATAATACAACAAAAGTAATACAACGTACACATTAATCAAGAACAGCAGTATCTAAAACAGGAGAAAAGCAAACCAACAATTAAAATTGTGACATAGTTTAAAACCCTACAAAAAAAATCTTCACTTGATGTCAGAGTTACCACCAAGTAAATCTTTTCAGTAGAGATTTATTGAAAGAAAGCATTTCACAAGTGGGATAGCAGTACTGAAAAGGTCCTTTCTAGGTCCACTATATTTACTGTATCTTGAAACACTTCCAAACAGCTAGCCTTTTCTGTAGTTACAACAGTATCTTCCAGTCTGCTCTTATCAATCATCCACATCTTATCTAGCTTTCAATTTGTCCATTGTGACGTTCAGGGCTTCTACTACTTCCCTGAAACCAATGAAAATGAACTTAGTAGCACCGGGTGTGTTTAATGCATTGCTGATCACTCACTCCATATCACTTGTTCAGTCCTTGAAGACGGCCAATTCTCTCATACCAGAAGCGACTTTCAGTTTCTCAAGTCGCTCTTGACACGAAAAGAAAATTCAATGTAGAAGCTGAAATAGTTTCAGGACAAGATGGAACCCCATGAAAGCCTCACACTGCTTGAGCAGTAGTTCTCAGTACCATCTTTTACAAGCCATAATCCAGACAAACGCAGGACCGTTACAATTCAGTGCTCCTACTTCCCAGACACCACAAGAAAATTCGGAAGGCCCAGAAAACAAGCACAGTGACACTGCCATCTGTTACTGCAACTTGTATTTGTTCCAAAACCTAGATCTAAAATCTGATTATCTAGATTATATGCCTCATCTAAGTATACCAAAAGTATTCTGTGGCAACTTCTTGCTTGCCCTGTAAGAAAATGATAGTAACAGCTATTGTAAATGTCAAGACCTAAAGGATGGCTACTTAAAAAGTGAAGTGAAGCCTCTTGAACTCAGTTGATCAACCCCACCCTGCTCACTATTATGAACCAAGGATTCTTGCCTTCTATATCTAAACACTCTAAGTAACATGCTGCTGTACTGTGATGAAACCAGTATCTGGCTGGAGCAAAACTGTTGATCAGGATGACAGGTGCATTATGGGAGACTTCCAGAGTAATCCACACCCTTTAACAAAGAATTACAGTGCAGCCTACATTGTTTCATGATTTGTCACCACAAAATATAGTTGCGAAACTGGGACCAGCTAACACAAATCTTAACATGAAGCCATTTTAACAGAAGTAGAATGCTAACGAGTTAGTTATCTATGTAAAGTCCTGTAAGTCTTCTAAGAAAGATGATACTTATGACAAATATCACAAAAACAGTTACAGAACATACGGTTTTTGGGGAATTGACAAATAATCTGAATATAAAACACTTGGACAATACCGTAAATTACTCCAAGTCTCCAACACAGCCAACAGAAACAAGCCAAACACAGATGATTTTTAATGCTGAAATGAAAGTAAAAAGCCACTGTGTAATATGATGTGTTAACTCATAGTGGACTATGTTCACATTACATAAACATAAATCCACTTGTGCAACAGGGCTTTCCCATTCCCACCCTGACAGAAGAAACTATCAACAGCAGGAAATCAAAGATGGGTTTGTTTCCTTTAGTGTCAAGCAAGCATAAAACATTTATTCTTATAAAGAGTACTAAGAAATGGACTCTTTCTTGATGGAAACAATGGAGAGGGATTTTCTGGTCTCTCTTAGGAGCTCTCTCCTAAGAGAGACCAGGATGGCCTCATCTCTATTTGCCTTTTGCAAGCAAGGCATGCTCCTGTCATCAGACATTAGGAGGAGGATGAGAGGCATACTTCCTTGGAGCGACTGGCTTGACCTTGAAGGAGCTGGGCGTGGTGGCCGACAGGGAGCTCTGGTTTGGCCTAGTCCATGAGGTCACAAAGAGTAGGAAATGATATTTCGTTTTAAATGTAATTTTAATTATATGAATATTTTTACAGTATCTTAAATGTATTTTGAATTAATGACAGAAACATGTAATTGTTTTTTTTTAAATTAACTTTTGTATTTTCATGTTTTTAAATTTACTGGATTGTGACATGTTATTGTAAATCACCCCACGGGAGAAAAGGGGAAGCAGAAATAAAAATGGTGATGATGATGATGATGATGATAATAATAATAGATGGTATTATTATCATCATTATTAATACTATATATCATTATTAATACTATATACTCTATGTTTTACCTTGATTCAAAGAAATAAGGAGAGGGTTTTTTGGGGGGCAGTCTCCCACAGGATCTCCCATGTCTAACATAAGCACCACCACTCAAGAGTCTCTGTGATCTATCATACCAGATCTCATTTCATGAACACATAGACACACAGTGGATCCCAAAGACTTGCACAAATGCTAGAATTTCAGATTCCATAGAGTCAGAATATATAGTTATTTTAAATAGTAATAATTAGCCTTGGAATTGGACCAAGAAATTGACAAGAGCTGAAAACAATAGGAGGGAAATATACAAGTTCTGATGTTCTATATCAGCTTCAACTTCTGAACAGTACTTAAAAAATAGGGGGATATTTGCACTCCGGAGAAAAAAATACTTATTAATGCACGTTTATCTTTCAAATAGCGTTTTATTTGCTGCTTACACAAGTACACAGTCTATGATTCTGTGGCATATATCCTTTTGACCCCACTCTAAACATGAGCACTTCCTCAACATAATGACTTTGGTCAACTGTCAATGCCTATTTTGTGGCAGAGGTCTACTTGCTGTTGTTCATCATCATTATCTTATTATTTTTAGCCTGTGTATCCGGGAAGAAATTGTGGCATTTATTGCAGAAGCTGTCCAGTATTAAGTGAGGTGATTGGCCCATCTATCCCAGTACTGCCAACACTGGCAAGGGGAAAAATCTCTTTAGAGATTCAAGACAGATTATTTCTCCACTACCTGGAGATCTCAGGTATTGTGTAGTAATCTACCATTCAAGTGTTAACCAAGCTTGATGATGATTAGCTCCCAGAATCAGTTGAGAGTAGTGTGCTCAGAATTGTATTGTGTTCAAAGATAGTCTAATGGTACCATCACTGCAGTTCAGGATAACAACACACATCCAGTAAGAGCACATGAGGGGGGAAATGATGGCTATGGATAACTGTGTTAACACGATTGTTTCCATAGTTTATAATGATTGCAATTATTAGCCATGTTGTTTTCAGCAGGGTTATTACACCAACTACATACGAATCCCAATGAGAGGAGCTCCTCAACCTGATCTTCCAAGACTTGGAGAAGATGACAGAGGAAAATTACAGTGGAGAAAAGGCACATACAATGGAAAAAGACACATACAATGGGAAAAGACACATTTCTGGCCACAGAGTGGATTCTTTTAATCAATGCAGGGACTGCACCCAGCAGAAGACTGCTATTTCTAGTGCATTGGAGAGAACTCTGAATACTTATTGCTCTAGCTTTATTCTCTCCTTATTTATTGTTTCCATAGCTTAACTGTAAACCCAAGATTAGGAAGTTTATATATATAGAGCTATGTTATATAGAAATAGTACAATTTGTAAGCATTCAAGTTTATTTGGTTCTCCAATCCCGAAAGAAGAACTTCTGTCCTTCTGGTAATTTGCATAGAGGTTATGGATTCACTAAATATCTGGGAAGCAGTCTCAAACTGAAACAAAAATTGTGGGTATATGTGAACTAGATGATCCCTAGTTCACATATGGCAGCAGCACCCCCTCCCAGAGCTAGCAGGCATAAAGATTGTAGTTAACATGCTGGCCACTTCAAGGAAGGACTTCTACAATGAGCCATACATTAAGCTATCACTGTATTAAGTTCGTAAACCTCAGTTAGTTCAAAACATGGCTTCCAGATTGGTGACTGGTCCATCTAAAAGCGCTCATATTACACCTATATTAAAATAACTCCACTGTCTGCCAATTATTTTCCTGGCAACATACGAAGTGCTTGTTGATACCTTTAAGATAATACATTATTTGGATCCAAATTAACTACAGGTTTACGTCTTTCCATATAATTTGCCATGTGCACAATCAGCAGCATTATATTTTTTAGTGTCAATCAAAGTCTATTCTCCTATTTTCAATCAAAAATCCTCATTGGAAATGCACAAATTATGCTTCTCTCTGGATCTCATAATTTTATGCCATAGCTTAAAATTAAGTTAGAATGAAGATCAAATAAATGATGCAAAAAGATACTGAAAAAGGAATAAAGGACCCCAAATATCTGAGACGCCTTTAACCAAACATGGAAGTGTTGAAAAATTATAAGTATTCATAGTTATAAAATTTAATTGTTGAAACTATCATTATAAGCTCATAATGAACTTACCAGCTACAATCACATTTTAGCCAATAGATGAATGATGCTCACTATGGTCTAATAATACATGACATTACCCATATCTGAGCTATATAACATCCAAATTCGTTTTCTTTTCAGTTAAGGTGGAGGCTACCGTTTATGAAATACAAAAGTGTGTATGTGTGTGTGCATGTGCGTGCGTATCCACTTCTCTTTTCTCCTTTTTCAGTATTTTCTTTACAACTGCCTGAGATCAGAAACCATGCCTGGAACTTAAAGATATGTGCAATCCACTCCATGTTGTCAAAAACAATGTATATCCTCCAAACCTCATGGCAAAATATAGGTATTTTATAAACAGAGCACTTCCAAGGCATAGTAACTGTTAAAAATAAACCAGAAACCCCACTGGATAGGCCCAAATACTTGGGTATATTGATGTCCCTGTGTGTTTGTACATCTGAGATTTACTATTTCAATAGGGAATTGAAACCAGTAAAAACATAGAATGTCAACGTCGTTCAAACAAATGTTACACAAAACATGCACTCATCTTTCATCAAACACATCTAAAATAGGTAAATACCTGTTCCTGCAGATCGTAGTCATAACTATCATGCAGCAGAAGACTGAGGACATAGCGAGTATAAATCATGGCATCAATGCCACATTTTTCTAGCTCTTGTCCCAGCCAGGTCTGCACAGGGCCCAAAGCATGAAGCAGAGACATTTCTGAAACAGGTACAGGACCCAGACAGGAGCTTGAGGAGCTTTCAGATGGCAAACCATCCACAACAACTGTATAGATTGGGTGCATGAATCTAGGTAGCTGTCATCCTTAGAACGTGATGCATTTTCTGAAGATGATATTCCGTGGGAACCTGGAGGTTGATTTTTTTTCACTCCAGTAAGGAGGAGACACGCTTGACTTCTAGGACAATCATTTATATTTCCTGGCAGTTATCAGTCTAGAGACAAGACCCCACTCTTCAGGCATAACCACTGAGTACACTAAATCTTAACAGGAAACACATGTTTATGTGCATTTTTCTACCTTAATTTCACATTGAAGCCAGATGTAAATCCCCAGCAGGACCTATAAGAGGGGGGAAAAAGAAGTTCTGTTTCAAAAATACATACAGCACATAGTAAACAAAACACTCACATAAATCTATGCATTAACTGGACTTTGAAATAAAAAGCCAAGTCTCATGTGAAGAAAACCCTCATACATGCATCTGATGTGAACATCAAGAGCTTAAAACATAATGTGCACCTTGAGGAAAACATTTAATTGAGAAAGGAGATCCCTATCTCCCTTTCCATAAACCTGGGCAAAGACATCATTTACTGTTAATGAAGCAAATCCATAGTTCAGGTGTTTCCTGAATATTTGAAGTAAGATGTGCTTCTAAGCTTGCTCAACCTTGTGGAACCCACCTGTAAACAAATGGCACTCCTGAACTATTGCTCTCCTTCTCTTTAACAGAACACCACATCAGTTGTTAAGTAATACTGAACAAGTGTATACTTTATTTTTTCATTTTTACTGTTATTTCATGAAGGGGATACATAGCTACTCTGAGTAGATATTTAACAAAACAGCAAGTGGGATGCAGCCTGCCCCTTCAAAGGGTATTACAACATTAAAAATAAGTTATTCGTGTGTTAAGTATCCCTGAAATGGGGGAAAGGGGAAAAAAGCATTGTGTGACCCAATCAGAAAACTTTCAGGGTGTACATGCTGGTTGAAACAGAAAGTCTGATAAGCGGTGCCTTAAATGTATAAAAACTACAAAAATGTGGAAATATCTATGTATATGTGTGTGTGTAATTAATGTACACAAGTCTGAGAATGACTAAGGCTTAGCACCAACTATGCTACAGAGTAGTGTGACACAAACACTTAGCTTAAAGGGTATTGTGTGATGGTAGCTCAGGAGATGCCCACATTCCAGGGATATAGTTTCTGCCCTGGGAAAGAATGAAGAGGCTTTCCAACACCATCCCAACAATTTCAATCGTTTGCTCTTTCCTCACTACTAGAAATAGCAGTGTTTAAGGAAGCCCTTTAGAATGCATATTTAAAATGTGCCTGGTATAGACTAACTGTCTCCATCCTGTTGTTAGCCATAAAGGATAAGCAGTAAAAAGGGGGCGAGGAAGCAGAAGCAAAATGGTAAACTCAGGGAGAAGTCATAAAGAAAAAAAATGAGAAGAGTATTTGTGTCAAAGAGGGACAGCTATGGGCTTTGACTGCATGTGGCCCATAGCAAGATTTCAAAAGTCCTCTGCAAGTGATGAATTGGGAACTCTTTTAAGAGTGATCAGTCTCTTTTTCTGAAAGCACAGAAAGAGAAAAAATAAAGGGAGCAACAGAAAAAGAAGAGGTCCGCTGCTGGAATTTCACCCACCAGCACCAAGCTCCCAAATACACAATTATTTAAGAGATAAGTCATATCCTGACAGACAAGAAGTTTCCCTCTTCTGATAACCAGGTGCCTCTATTCAGGGAGTAAAATCAATAGACCTAGGCACATCTCATCACTGGGAAAAAAACCATGCAGAAATGCTATGATACTGAACTGCACAAATATTTCATACGTATATTCATGTTCCTGGTTTTGTTTTGTTTTTTTGCAGAAATTTTCATTTTCATTAATTAGATGGTCTTTTTTAAGCAGGGCAAAATATGACCTTTGGGACCCAATAATAAATAAATAAATAAATAAATAAATAAATAAATGTTGATGTTACTTGTATCTTGTTTCTTCTCCCCAAAAGAGAACTCAAAGTGTCCCTGAAGCCCTGCAAGCCCCAAACACCTTTTTTTCTCTCCAAAAGATTGCACTAATTTGAGAGAAACTTTTCACCTGAAAACTAATCAACTCAATCTCGAACTGGCTGCAAATGTAAAATGCATCCCCCTGCTCTGAAAAAAAGACAAGTCAGCTAAAATGGCAGCCACCAGGGACACAATGCTATTTCTAGTACATCAAAACACAGCAATGCATCTTCTAGACAGAATGGCCGCTGCCATCTCTGTAGCTGCCCATTACTTATAAACAAAGAAAAATAGTTGGTTTTATTTTTTGTGATTTTGCATTCTAGTTAGAATAAAGGGAAAATGAAAGAAAGCTCACGTACAGCAGTAAATTTGAATATTTGGAGAAAGCGGCATTAGTGAAGTCTGCAAAATTATTCAATTTCTTATACATCAGTATTGTCTTCAGGTCCCTAGCCTTTCTTGTTTTAGAACTCATAATAAACCAGCATTTGCAAGACTGGGATAATCCAGTTACAGCCTATCAGAAACTGAAGAGCAGTATCAGCAAGAGACTGCATTCTTCATTATTAGGCAACATCCACTAATGAAACTAAGATTAGAACTTTTTTCCAATCCAGGGTAACGGTTGTTATTTTATGGAAATTGTAGTTTGTGTATAAACCTGGTTGTGGTCACAGCACTGGCAGCCAAAACTGTAACTCTACACAAAACAGTTGGAATTATAATCACAACTGTGCAATTCCTAGGTTTTCAAGCTTCACTAGTTATATATCTTTCTCATCTTTCATTCCCTCCTATACCAACAGGGATCTGTGTCCTCTTCATACTTTGTTAAAACCTAGAAATCAAAGAGTTCTGAGATCTTTTACAAAAACCAGTTCCCAAATACCCAGTTTATTTTCTTATACACTAGAACAGTGTTTCCCAAAGTGTGTGCCCCAATGCTCTGATGTGCCACAAAGAGCTCCAGGGGGTGCTCTGCAGCAATTCTCTCCCCTACTTTTTTTCCCCCAGCTCATTTCTTTCAATTTCTCACTGCTACAGCTTCTTAGTCAAGATGTTATGCTGCTTGTATAGCTGCACTAGTCACAACAGAGCCCCTCAAACTGCTACCATAGATTTTTAAATTCCTGTTGCTAGAAGAATGCCATAAACACACACACACACACACCATAGTTCAGTGTTACTTCCATGGCTGCTCCCTTGTCCTAAGCCACAGAGAGCTGGAATGCAGAGGGTTGCAGCAGCCTTTCTAGCAAGAGGTCACAAGTTTTAAATTAAAAAGTGAACATGTAAAAGCAGATAGCGCAAGTGGGACAAGACATATATAAAACAGCAAAGCATGATAGCCTGTTGTTTTTAAGAACAAACGTAGCACCAAATGTAGTGTTGCAGAGAGGGTGGTCAAAAAGACTATCAGTAAATCAGTTGCACAGTGAGTTAAACCACTGAACTTACTGACCAAAAGGTTGGCGTTCGAATCTGGGAAGCGTGGTGAGCTCCCACTGTTAGCCTCAGCTTCTGTCAGCCTAGCAGTATGAAAACATGCAAATGCGAGTAGATCAATAGGCACTGCTCTGGCAGGAAGGTAATGGCGCTCCATACAGTCATGCTGACCACATGACCTTGGAGATGTCTACGGACAATGCTGGCTCTTCGGTTTAGAAATGGAAATGAGCATCACTCCCCAGATTTGGACACATTTCCTGTTGACAGGAAGCCTTTACCTTTTAAAGAAAAAGATATGATGCCTAACATCAGTAGACAAAATGAAAAGTAGGAGAGTGCTTTACAAATGGAAGCCAGAGCTCAGAATGGCAAGACCTGATTGTTAACAACAGGATCCCTTGTTGTTAACAAGAGATGACCTTCAAAGTCATTTCTCACTTATGACAACCCTAAGGCAAACTATTTCAGGTGGTGGGTTTGGGAAAAAATCACTTTGTGGGGCCCCATTCGGCAACAGCTGCTGCTGCCCCGGCCTCCTCCTCTTGCTTTTCTCTCTCTCTTGATCTGTGCCCTAGTCTCCAGAGCAGCAGAAATCAAGTTAAAAGAAATAATAATTCCTTTACACCTAAATTATTAGCAGTAACAACACATTTGGTACTCTACTCCCACTTTATCATAGAGCTATAAAATTGGAAAGGGCCCTATGATCTGTAAGGTTCAGCTAGAGCCTCCCCAACAAGTTGGTAAACACTGAAAAAAACACAAGTGGGGGGCAAAACAACCCTTTCCTTACAAAGAATGGAGAGGCGCAATTCTGGAGTCTCTTCTCCTTTCAAGGAACAGGGGAAGAGAAAACAAAATATGGGTACACACACCCTCCCCCTAAATACAGTTGACCTGGGCCTGGAGTCTTTCTTCACAGCGTTTGATGGAGGCTACATTTCATTTTCATGTGAAAAACACAAAAAAGGTTTTTGAGGAACACAACTAGCCCTATCTTTTGCCCTGTCAAAATAGCCTTGGGTGGACGGGGAGTAATAGGAGAAAAACTGCAACCTTTCATTACACACATACCTACATACGCACGCACATCAGTTTGACAGACATTTAGTAAACTAATGACTGAGCATTTCTTGGTTATGCACTCCCATCTGACAATGAAAATAGAAACAATTCACCATGCAGCAATTTAGAGACAAAATGGCAAAGAAAGGTCCAGAAAATGGTCTAAAAGCATCATCTGGAGCCAAAGACACTGCTGTGTTACAAAAGGCTGCTGCAGTATCAGTAGCACAGGAAATATTTCAACTGAAGTTTGTATAACAATTGGATCCCTTCTTGGATATTTATCTCCTTATTCTATAGAACCAATAACTGTGTTCAAGTACAAGCTCCTTTTCCATTTCTGAGCATGAGAAAGTCCTGGGGCTAATGTATTGGCAAACACTGGCCTGTCTGAGTACAGAGAGCATCACTATCATGTCATGTGAAGTGGGTGGTGATGGCAAGAAGGACTTCTCAAATGTATCATTCCACTTACAAAATTTCTTTTCTCAGAGCAGATTGCCCGTTGCCTGTGTTAGTGCTTGCAATGGCAGGAAAAGAATATGTCTACCATCCTGACTTTAAATTTAAAGTAAGACACTGTGTATGTTCAGACTACTTCCCGTCTCTTAATCTGAGTAAGCAATCATTTTTCTTTGTTCTTTCCCCACAAACATATAAAGAATGTAACTGTAAACCACTAAAAAGCTGAAATAATAGATCTAATAGATAAAAGCTGAAATAAGAGATCTAATATATAAAATAAGCAATCTAAGGAACAAACGACCATTAAGTAGAGGGTCTAAAACTACCTAGCTCTACCACTGTCTTAACGTATTACTTTAATGCTAGCCAAAAATTGAGAATTTTTGAAATTCATAACACAAGATCACCTGAAGGCCAATAATTTAAAGAACATTATTGAATGGATCACAGCTGCAACACAGCATATTTTACACCCCGATCAAAAGGATTATGCCTTCTCTGGCAGTGTATCAATCTTATTTGTGGACAGTCTTAGAAGAATCATTATCAGAATAAAGATTAACATTGCACTGTAATACTAAAATAGCTTTTATATTATATAGAGAGAGCAGTGGGATTGAAAGGGTGTAGCTATTAAATTGTTTTTAGAAAATATGAATCTATGAGACTTATAAAATTGTATAACCTAGAACAATAATATATCTTTGGCTATCACTCGTGGCCAAGTATGATTGTCTTCCAAGTGTAGAGTCTTAGCAACGGGACTGTAGGTGACTGTAGATACCTATTCTGGATCCGCAAGTTCTTTCGAAATGAAGATATTGATTTCCAGATGGAAGGTGGGTCCTGAAAAGGGCTGGCTTGACACAATTCCTCTTGACACATTTCTACCTTCCACACTCCATTTGTGCCTCTTTGAATTCCACAACACTGCTGGTAACAGCTGACCTCTAGTTAAAATGCTCTAGGGCAGGCATAGGCAAACTTTGGCCCTCCAAGTGTTTTGGACTTCAGTTCCCACAATTCTCAACAGCTGGTAAGCAGGCTAGGATTTTTGGGAGTTGAAGTCCAAAACACCTGGAGGGCCAAAGTTTTTAAGATTAGCTTTAAGCCCATCTTTAAATCTCTTTTGCTGCCCACCAACATTTTGTTTTGCATTCCTGAGTTGAGAATAAACTAACAATTTTGAGAGATGTGATCGGACATTTGGACAATGTGGCCAGTCCAGTGAAGTTGATGGCGGAGGATCACTGCCTCAGTGTTAGTGGTTTTTTCTTCTTCCAGAACACTGACATTTGTCAATCTGTCTTCCTGAGAGATTTGCAGGATTTTTCGGAGGCAACACTGACAAAACTTGAGTGATGTTTGTAGACGGTCCACGTTTCACAGGCTTATAACAGAATTGGGAGAACAACAAGCATCTCAGTATCCCTATGAATGTCCCAATCCTCAAACACTCTACTTCAAATCCTTTGACAATACATTGAACATCTCTACAGGGAGAAAGATACACACCTAGTTTCCAAGACACACACCTAGTTTCCAACAAACCTCACAACCTCTGAGGATGTTTGCCACAGATGCAGACAAAATGTCAGGAGAGAATGCTTCTAGAACATGGACATACAGCCCGGAGAACTTACAGCAACCCAGTGATTCCAGCCATGAAAGCCTTTGACAATACTCTATACTTCATTCAAAAAATGATGCACTCACAGAGCTGAGACAACATTGTATTTCGACATCGATGTTGACTTTTGTGGAGAGGTGGCTGCCTAGGCAGTGGAAATGGTCAACATTTTCTAACGTTACACGATTCAGCTCAATTTCTGGCATTGCAGAGAGATTGGTTGGTGCCTGCTGGTAGAGCACATTGGTTTTCTTGATGTTCAGTGAGAGGTCAAGCTTTTTGTATGCTTCTGCAAAGGTGTTTAAAGTGGTGTGTAGGCCGTCCTCTGAAAGAGCACAGACTACATTATCACTAGCATATTGGAGTTCTATAACAGACATTGTTGTGACCTTGGTTAAGCTTCCCATAACAAGGTGCAGAATCATAGACATGAAAATGGAAAGTTAGGTTGGGGTGATAACACAGGCGATACCGGGAACAATGGAAGGAATTGAAAATACTGCAAGAGCAGTCAAAGAAGGCTGAAATAGGTGAATCCACATTTGGCTCTCTTAGGATAAGTTTTTTCAAGCTGGCTGCAATTTGGAAAATTATTGGTTCATACTATTAAACAAGGATAATTTGTTAATACCATCAACAAAAACAATTCCATGGAAAAAAAGAGCATATACAATTGTATTTCAGATTACATACATGAAGTAATTCAGATATATCAAAACTTTTGAGTGAAATTAACTTTTCCAAAGAGGTGAGAATCTGAGCTACAGAAGAAATGCAGAGCAGATTTAATCAGAAAAAACAAGATTTTTTAAGTTCCTGATAAACTATTGGATCTTCAAAAATGAAATTAAGAGTCACAATAACATGCTTAAAATGAACATGAACAAAGAGGGTTTGATTTTTAAATGAAGAAAGTATGCAGTAATGTCAAAGCTCCAATGCTTTTAACAAGGCTTTTTCTGTATCTCTTCTAATGGAAAAGAGGTCAACTAAAAAGTGCCCAAGCAAGACGGAATTTAGAATATGGCAGAAGCTCTTTAACATTGCTGCAAACAAGAATTGAAGGGTGGCAACCTACACTACCTGCTTGGATATTGAAAGAACTTTTTAGATGCAGTGTTAAGAGAGATATATGCTTTGGAATGTACAGTTACAATTTTTCAGCACCTGAACGAGAGTCTGAAACTTGTGTAAGGCACAAGACATCACCCCGTACCACTTCACAGTTCAGAGCTTGGTATGAAAGTGAAAGTCTTCCCATGACCTGTTTCAGTGGGACCCAAAGATAGTGCAGTATCAATCAAGTTTGCTGGTCCCTTACAGAGGAATTATGATCATTGAAAGGACATATTGTGAATGGCTCACATGATCATTCACACGGAACCGTAAGCGAGAATGATACAATGTTAACTGTAACAGATCTTGCACAATCCTTAAAGGCAAATCTAAGTGCTTTTTTAGGATATAAAATTAACCAGGGTAAAATTAAAGTGAATAAGCTACAGGAAATCATCAAAGCTCAATGGAAAAATAATTAGATATGTACAACTATTCCCACATCCAATTTGATATGAAAGAGTGGACATCAATTAAGTCTATTTTATGAATAAATATCAAAAGAAAAGTCAATTTTGGAAACATTTTGGTATCTTTCTGGCTTGTTAAAAATGTATATGATCATTTTTCTCTCTCAAAATTTGATTGTTGAAATTAAATTTATATAATTTTGTTCAAAAGCAGAAAAGAGAAGTTAGCTTAGCATTTCCATACCAAATCTGTTACCATCAAGCTGAAGTATTATAGGCCATGGTAAAAAGGATTACATAAGGGGAAGAGGTTTGAAATAGCAATGAAATATATGCTGCTAGCAGATATGAAAGAACTGGATCAAATCAGAGAGAGGTTTAAAATTAAATAAAATACAAGTCCATTGTTTTAACAGCTTTTAAACTTTATTTTATAATTATATTTTAATTGTCTTTTATATCACTTTTGAGGTTAGCAGCAACTTTAGTCCCAAACCTGGGGGGAAAGTGGTGTATAAATAAATAATAAAAACAGTATCTATGAGTCACAGTTTATAAGAATAGTCAGGAGTACTATCAGGCTTGACTGTGAGCATTAGTAGACTACTAGACTGAAGCACGAGTAACAACAACACAATGGAATTTGTCTTTATTAGATATTTATGGAAGAGATAAATAATATTCCATTTCCTAGATCAGCATTACTTACAATTGAGATGTTGGGTCCAAATGAAGCTTAAGGAAAGAATTAAGCAGAAATGGGGACACAATTAATTCATGTCATGTGAAAGGGAAGCTGTACCTGAACTGTGATTTCGGTAGCATACTTAAGAGAAAGACTGAAATTGTCACCATGCTTCAGACAGATAGAAATCTATTCAAAGTCTTTGCATTTTTAACATTAAACATATGCACAACTCTCCTATATGTTGGCCATGAAATAATAAAAGAGTTGATTTGAGGATGAAGGAAAGGCTCAGAGTCAAGTACTAGATGCTCCTTATAATCCCATAGTTGTTCCTAATGAAGTGTTAGAAACAGTGCAAACATTGTTTGCTAATGTCTAAGATATATTAACACACAAAAGTCTACTTTTTAACCAATAATATATTGGCAGGTAAAATGATAGCATTAATTAAATACCATATTTTACTGCAGAATAGTTGCATTTTCCCCTTTCTTCCCTTCAAAAAAGGGGGATGTGACTATTATGTGGTGAAAATGGGGGAGACCTACTGGACCTCCTACAGCTGGTAGCCAAAGGAAGCCTGCAGGCCCTGTCTGCCAGCATACGTAATAGTCGCACTCCTTGCCCACACACCTGTCAGTTACACCTAAGAAGCCTCCCTTAGAGGGCGGCAGCCAAGGGAAGCCTCTTAACTCTCATGACTTCACCTGCCCACATGTCTGCTCCTCAGAACTAATGGGGCTTTCCTTGGCGAGGAAGCCCGCTAGCTCCAAGGGGCATGGGCATGGGCACGGGATGTGACTATTATGCAAAGAATTATAAAAGACAAAGAACTGGGGTCACAAAAAGGGGTGGGTGCAACTATTATGCGGTGGTGACTATTATATGAGGAACTACATTAAGCTAATTTTGTATTACTAGAGCTATGTTCCAGTTTCAGTATCGCCTCCTTAAGTTTGTTCCCAAACTTGCAAAAAAGTTAATGTTCTATGCTTTGCAAAGTACTACTACATAGCATTTCCCTTTGTGTCAACAAAATATATGAACCTTAGCGTCATTTATTCGATCCTTGTAACCTTTTCTGAAGGACAGGAATCAGATTTATTCTCTCCTCATATCCTTATCCCACCAACATGTTAATATTATGATTAAATGTTTTTATTTTTAATCAGTCATAATATTAACTTCCTTGGCATATGTAAATATCATTAAGAATATCTGCTTAATGCATTCTGGTTATTCCATTGCATTTGTTCTTGCATTCAGAAGGACTAGCTAATATTGCTTCTTTTTTCAGGATCTACCTCAAATAATACATCTATTTCAGTTCTTTCAATATTTTATAAACATTTACTACTTATTTTGATTCTGATATGGCATGTAGACACAGCAATCAAACTACTGTGAGTTGCTGCACTTATAGTTTTTAATGTTTTTAGGGTTGCTTATAGAATGGTATTTTATTCTGCAGGAGTAAGAAATCTGTTTTAGCTCCAAAGCAACACTAATTTCCAAGAAATTTTAAAAGAGCCATGCCAGAGATAGCTAGCCTCCTAAAAAGTAGGACAATAAAAAATAGACAACACATTATGTATTCTCATACTGCTGCAGATGCTTAAACACATACAGTACATACAAGTGAAAGAAGCTTGTAAAATTAATTTCTTTTTCTGGGAAGAGAAATGAAGAAGCAGCAACAATTCCCATTTTTAGAAGATACACCAGTATTTAAAAATATACCCTTTAAAGGCTGAACATGGGTTTTATTCTTCCTTCAAGTCTCCAAACCTCCATTCTGTAATAGGTTGGACAAGAGATTCTTCTCATGCATAGCTTTTATTTGCTTTCTGACTGACCAACTGACATCACTGATGACAGTAGCTACTTTGGTGGTCCACTGTGCTTATTAGCTAAGAATTTTAACAGGAAAACAACCTACCTCCTCCCAAAACTCTTGTCATTATGGCGACTTTAGACCAAGGGTCCCCAAATGAAGGCCCATGGGCTGGATGCAACCCTCCAAGGTAATTTACCCAGCCCCTGCCCTAAACTTTAAATTTAGGGTTGCCCTAAGTCTGAAATGACTTGAAGGCACACAACAATAACAATGACTATTTCATCAGACAAAAGAAGGCCCACACTTCTCATTCAAATACTGGTAAGTTTATGTTGGTTAAAAATGTTCTTCATTTTAAATATTGTATTGTTCTATCTTTTTTATTTTTGCACGACAAATAAGATTTGTGCAACATGCATAGGAACTCATTCATGGTTTTTTTCATACTCTAATCTGTGCTCCCAACAGTCAGAGGGACTGTGAACTGGCCCTCGGTTTAAAAGGTTTGAAAGCCCCTACTTAGACTACACAAGCAAAGAGAATGGCACATGAGCAAACAGTTGTCCAAGTGTCCAACCATGCACCTTCAGCTGTCCACCCCCAGTGCTGAGAGATACTGATAGAGAAGAGACAGCTGCAGAATATGTGGCGTTCATGCAGCTGCTCCTCTTTGAGAAGCAACAGTTCCAGTTGGGACTCTCGGTACTTTTAAGTTCAGGCTGGAAGGCACGATCTTCATGTCTTTCCGCCTTGACCTGAAATTACACAGGACACTAATGAGGGTTAGTACTGCTGTGAGGCTAGCAGCTGCCTAAGCATGGGGCCATGCCCTCTACAGCTCTACTTCCTCACTATCAATTCACAACAGAGAAAGAAGAAACACAACTGCAGAGTTTATGGTATGTGCTCAGGTGGCAGCTAGTTTTAAGAGTCCTCAGCCAGCATTATAGTGAAGATATAACTGGCTGGCCTTTTGTTTGCCTTTTGGACCCATTCCCAACATGACTATAAAAATATATTCCGAGGAAAGATATTGAGAAGGTATAGGTGCTATCATGGAAGTGGGAAAAACACAGTTAATACCATCTTATTTATATTATTGCACAATAAGAAAACAACATGTTTTCCATTCCTTGAAGAAAAGATGCCTAATCTTAAATGCAGTATATACTCATGTATCAGCCAAGGTCAGGTTTTGGAGCCAAAATTAGTTTTTCTTTATATTTTGAGAGTAATAGTGGCATGTGACAAACAAATATTTTCATTTCCATTTGAAAATGCATAGAGTGAAAATACTTAGGAAAACCTAAAGTAAAGTAACTGTTAAAATTACTGTATCTATACAAATACAAATTAATATGACTGAGGAAAAAAGGAATAAGAATGCAGCCCGGAAGAGTGGGGGTAGGAGAGAAGAACAAGGACAACAATCAAATTGTAATAAAGGACCTAGCAAAAAGGTCAGTGACAAGATGTAGAGATGAGAAGCACTCACACTCCATTACCTCTCCCTAGCCAGCAATGTGGAGGAGCCAGTTTGGGCACTTGAGGTGCAAAGGAGCATTGATGGCTATTTTTATAAAAGGCTTTCATCATAAGCTTCTCTAATGAGACTGCGACCATAATTATTAATGAGGTACACAGGCTTTTACATTAAGCGCCTATTAAAAATGGCCAGTCTTGTTGAAAATAAGTTTATGCAGTAAGTCCTTGGCAGCTGTCACTCAGCTCTTTTTTAAGCGCTCAAAGTTGCTCCTCCACTTTGCTGATGACTTCCACTGAAAGCAAGGGCTACTTTTTTCTCTCTGATTTGGGCATGGGAGAGGTAATAAGGTGAGAGCATGCCTTACCTCTTTTCACTGCTGTTCCACTGGGTATATTTCAATACTGACCAGTGTATAGGTTCACTCAATTTGGGGTAGGTGGTAACCTTTGGAGGGGGAAAATTAATTAACTAATTAATTTAAATTAATTTAGGCAGAAAAATGAAATGTAAAGATACAGAATGGGGGACGCATGGCTCGACAGCAGTACATGTGAAAAAGATCTGGGAGTCCTTGTGAACAAGTAAAACATGAACCAACAAAGTTGTGTGGTGGCAAAAAAAGCCAATGGGATTTTGCCCTGCATAAATAGGAATATAGTGTCTAGGTCCAGGAAAGTCATGCTACCCCTCTATTCTGCCTTGGTCAGACCACACCTGGAATACTGTGTCCAAATCTGGGCACTGCAATTGAAGGGAGATGTTGACATGCTGGAATGTCTCCAAAGGAGGGCAACTAAAATGATCAAGAGTCTGGAGAAAAAGTCCTATGAGGAGCGGCTTAAAGAGCTGGGCATGTTTAGCCTGCAGAAGAGATGGCTGAGAGGAAACATAATAGCCATGTATAAATATGTGAGAGGAAGTCAAAGGGAGGAGGGAGCAAGCGTGTTTTCTGCTGCCCTGGAGACTAGGACATGGAACAATGGCTTCAAACTGCAGGAAAGGAGATTCCACCTGAACATGAGGAAGAACTTCCTAACTGTGAGAGCTGTTCAGCAGGGGAACTCTCTGCCCTGGAGTGTGGCGGGGGCTCCTTCTTTGGAGGCTTTTAAATAGAGGCTGGATGGCCATCTGTCGGGGATGCTTTGAATGCGATTTTCCTGCTTCTTAGCTGGGGGTTGGACTGGACAGCCTACAAGGTCTCTTCCAACTCTATGATTCTATGATATAAATTAATGACTGAATGGTGGGCCAGCACATATAGAACATTGAGTTTACTCACAGGGTTATGAATCTGATTCAAACCAATGCCTCTCCAGAGGCGAAATTCCCAATGATAACAATTATAGCAGGGCTAGGCAATTCTCATGATCCCTGAACTAATAATGCTGATTGGAGCATATGAGAGCTGCAACCCAAAACAATTGGGGGATGTTTGTTGTTCTTGTGTGCCTTTGGGGTGACTCTGACTTATAGCAAAGTTGGGGGGGGGGGGMGGTTGGCATTTTTTTTGGCCAGAGAAGGTTTGCTATTGACAAAAGGCTGGGTAAGTGTGRCTAAGAGACGCTCAGTGAGACTTGTCCAAGGCTACCTACTAGGTTTCTATCCTGATCTCCCAAAGTTTCAGCCCAACACCCATGTCAAAAAAGAAAGCCTAATTTTGCCATTTGATATGAGGGATAGCATTTTACTATGTTACTATATATAATAGGACTTGTGCATCCATG